TAGTGGTCGGTGATCTGCCATATGTTGATTCGTCATGAATTGCTCACCGATTTTCGAAAAATTCACAGAATTTGAAAATCACTTCGAAACCCTTTTATTTTATGCCATGATTTTTGTCTCATTGTATTCTTATCTAAGTTACGCCAATTTCTTTTTTATCCTCTGCTCTCTCAACTTTGCTCTTGTTTTTGCTTTGTATCAATAAATGAATTGATGATAATTTGAATTTATTAGAAATCTGTCATGATTTAATAGAACTTTGTGTATGACAAAATGATTTGGCAACTCGATGATTGGAATTTGAATAATGTGAATGATGGAGGGGGGAGTATATGAGTGAACACCATCAATCACACATTTCGAAAAATAGTTACACTCTCTCATTTCGACTGATGAAGAATGGATGGTCAAGGTGTCGAGGGATACGTAACAAGTGTTTAAAATGGAAGATGGGAGGAAAGGAAAAAGTAGAAAGATGGGAGAAAAGAAGAATAGTGTGATGTATGGGTGGTGCGGAAAGGAAAGGAATAATTGAAGAAAACAAGAGAGAAGAAGAAAAACGATGGGATGGAGAGGAAGGATAAGCGCGAAACGGGCAAGGGACCTATTTATTCAAAAAGTGTTGAAATGTTGCGGACAGGCAGCCAGCTGTTGGTTTGTGGGTGGGGGTATGGGGATGTGGGATTAAAAAAAAGAAAAAAAGATTGGCAAGGAATGAAATCGGGGACGGAAAAGTATCAAGCACATTTTTCGATTTTTGGCGGAAAGGGGAATCGAAATCGAGGTAGTTTTGTGTCATTGCTAAGAAATATCTGCTAGTTTTTTTGGAGTTTCAATTACTAAATGATCACTAATTGAAAAGTGACATATGGGAAAAGTGACATATGGGAAAAGTGACAATTCAAGTCTCCTGACCAGAAGGGTTATATCAATGAAATCGGAATCAAAGGCTTATTTTTGTTAAATCACATTTGTTTCGTTAGTTGAGAAGTTTTGCGTTTTTAGATGAACTGAGTTGCCATATGAGTGATAAGATGAGAATCGGGTGGTGGTAGATTGTAGACGTTTGTGGAAAGTGGAAGAGATGTTGGGAATGGGGACGACATGACACTGGGACCAGCCAAATGGATTTGTGGGGTATCGGCTGCTGGAGTTTCATTGCGGAAATCTGAATATGTGTTAAGGTTTAAACAGTTTGTTGAATTGTGTTCTAGAACATAAATTAATTCAAAAATCCCAAATGAAAAATTATGTCTTCTCTGCACGACCGAAAAAAAGTTCCCAGAAATAGCTGTGAAACGCAAAAATGTTTCAGTTCTCGTGCATTTATGGTAACTTTTAGAAGATTCTCTAATTTTTTAATTCGTGCCAAAACTAAAAATTTTTCTTTTCAGGGTTCACTTTTTACTTTTTTCCTGCTCCTTTTCAAACTGCCTGACTATTATAAAAATATGTTTCTATTTTTTCAGTGCTATGAATGAGAAATTTTTGTCAAAATCTGAAATAATTTTTCTCATTTGCCGCTCATTAGATATTTTCAGATTCCTTTCTCGATCTCTAAACGTTTTCTTCAAAAACAGTTGCTTTCTTCATAAACCATACATTTCCCACTTTCCCGCTTCTTTATCTCTCACAATGCACCGCTTAAATCCTCTTACTCACATTTATCCGGACTCTGCTCTCTTGATTGGAACATGAAATTGCTCTCATTACCGTCGTCAATGGTGTGCTCCAGGTACACTGCAAATCCTTTTGTTTACAAAACTATGAATAATCCTCAAGTTCTCACAGTAATTAGGACTCTGTCCATTGATGCTTTCAATGGGAGAGTTGCTATCACTCTCAGCACGGGTGGAAGATTTCCAACGGCGACCGGCATCCTTTTTCAGGCGTTTTTCTTTGGCGCGACGGTTTTGGAACCACACCTGGAATGTTGAGAATAGGACTACACATGTTGAAATAATTTTGTTTACTTGAACAACACGCATATCGAGACCTGTTTCACTGGCAAGTTGCTCTCGGATATGGCGAGCTGGTTTGCTGCTAGTTTGATAGGCCTGAAAGATGTAGAGTTTTATTTCGAGAATTATATCTGAGCAGGGTATCCCTGAGCAGAATTCATACGCTACAGTAGTCTTTTTACCATCAGACTATGATCTCTCACATTATGACTAATCATGCAGTACTCAGGTGAGCTGTGCAAAATGTAACGCTTTCTCATCCTGGATCACCTATGGTTTAACATTTTTATTGTGTGGGTTTTTACAACCGAATCTAAATGTGTTGTGGTTTTCCCTCGTGCCAATCAGTGGTACGACGAGACGGATTACACAACACACTCATAAAAAAGATAGCACTCACCTGCTTCAATGTTTCCAAACTCTTTGCTGAAATCGTGGTCCTTGGTCGTTTGTTACCGCCGTCACCCTCGCTTTCCGCCGATTCTGGAAGACCAACTATCGAGAAAAATCGAGGAGTTCTTTGTGCATGCCAGACCACTTACGCTTATCTCTTGCTTGTTCGTAATCGTCTTTGCACACAAGACGCGCATCATCTGGGATCAGGTAGAACTCTTCACCGGTTTCGAGTAATCTAAAAAACAGAAGAGTTACCTGGTATTTCGTAATCAATTTTTTTTTCGATAAACGATTACTGTAAGATTAGAAAAAACATGTACCGTTTACAAATGAAGCAGTTGAAGCATTCCACGTGATAAATGTGTCCTGATGCTTTTCGAACCACATGATCAGGAACGATTCCATCTTCACATGATGCGCATTTAGTTCCGAATTTTCTAGAAATAAAATATTATGAAATAAGTTGAAAAAATCACTTTTAAAAACTGAAATCAAATACTGTGAAACTATTATTTTTCAACAAGAAAAAACTCTTTCAGCTATATCAAAAGCGTAACAAACCAAATTCTCACTTGAAAAAATGTGCACGGCAATACATGGAATCGTCTCGCAAAAAGCACGTCGCTCCAAGTTCGTCTTGACAAGTCGAACACCGCAAACATGACGAATGATAACACCTAGAAGGCGCGGGAAAAGTGTAAAAGTGAAAACCAAGACTTAAAAAAACTAACCTTCCATTGACCTTTGATACGAACCGATCCCGAATTTCTTTTTCGCATAATGAACAAACCGATTCTTCATTGTTCGAGAGCACTGCATTAACTGCAATAAATAATTCAAGAAACTGTCATAGAAGATGGATCTTATCTCTATTCTCGACACTTTTATTCTTATTTTTCTTACCATCATTTCTTACCACCTGATTTTTTTCCATTTATGACTTATCCAAAGTAAAAATCCTAATACGCATCCGGATATAACGAACCTAACGGTAATTTAATGCTCATCGCCAACGGTTCGCAGGTGTGTGTCCTCCCCATAAACTGCTAAAGGTTCGGATGATGCGCGGAGGTGTGACAGACCATTAAAATATCAAATTTCCAGAATGGGTGAGGGAAGTATAAAGCACAAAACCAGTAAACAAAAAAATGAAAACTTTATCTGAGAACCGAAAGGTGTGAAAAGTGGTATCACAAAGTGTTAAATTGAGTGACAATAGACGGTAGAACGGTCAACGCGGCAAAAAAAGAAGAGAGAGTGTGTTGATAAGCGACAAAGGCATCAGGCTACTGTTATTGTAATATTGCAGAAAAAAAAATGGATGGATGGATGGTGAAAGAGAAAAAGTTGAGAGGGACTGTCGGTAAAAGTTCAAAAGGAAAATAAAGATGGATTTTTTTTTGAATATTTCCTTGTTAGTCAGATGATTTATGTATATGGGTACTATTCGAGTAATGCTATCTAAAAAACCAACACCAGGGAAGTAACATTTAAAGCATAAACTACATAAAATACATTTACATGTTCTAAATACAAAATTAAACATTAGGTATTTGTAAAAAAACACTCACCATTAGTAAAATCCTCATGTGGTGAAAGAAGACCGGTGCTGCACATCGCGATATGATTGTCCGGTGCATCGCAAGCGCCGAGCGTCAGAATGTTGTGGCTCAGCATGTTTGCTGAAAAGTCTTTCAAAAATAAACATAGTGCGTCTTCGAAATTCAGACGAGGAGGTTGATCGTTTGGAAGAATTGGTGCAGGACATCTCCTTAAAGGATCAGTCTAATGCAACCGGGGGAAAAGAGAGGGAGGCATTTTGATTAAGCCAAAAAGGGAAGAGGGAACACGCGCGCAGACATGGTTAATGAGTTTCGGAGCTCGATGAGGAAAAAAACTATCTCTTAATATTCGCCTGTCACGCTCAACCTATTCTATGAAATAGGTGAAGAAAAAAGGAATTGTCGGAGGTTTAAGCTGGTTCTTGACGGGTTGTGTATGTTATGCTTGCCGAGCCATGAATGTCCCGAAAATAGATCCCGCCCATCTTACCCCCACGCCAATGAGCGACGTCTCTCTCGAGCATTTCTTACAAGGTATACGATAGATCTGGAAACTTTTCAAGTTGCAATATCAGGCGCACCAAAGATAAGAAGTATTCGATCATCCGAAAAAATTCAACAGGATTGGTAGAGGCTCTAAGAAGATGTTTGTTATTCTCATGGGATTTGACGATTCTCAATTCCCAAATCCACTTTGATCCTATTCCCGTGATTTTAGGAGCGAGTCAAAAAGCTGGAGCAAGAGCCCCATCTTTCCCGAACATTCGTTTCATCTTGTTCCTCTGAATGATTAAAAAAGTGCTGGGGCTCCAGGAAATGAGAATGAAACAATTCAATTATGCAGAGAAACCTCCTGAACTGGTGTCTCAATTTCAATTAAAAAGAGATATATTATTACTATTTTTGATGGGTGCTTTTTGACGGACAGTGAAAAAAACTGACATGCCGTTCGGAATATTCACTCGAAGCGAACGATTATTTTTAAAATGAGATTTATCTACCGTAAATGCACTAATATACGTGCACTGACTTTACTTATCTCGGTGCTTTCAACAGATATTAAAAATTTATCAACTCATGGAATGCTTGTAATTTTACAAGAAGAATTTTATCAGTTATCAAACTTTTAATATCTTTTGAAAGATCTGTGATAATCGGGCTGAAAGCGCTTGTGTAGAGTGGTCTTCCATTAGAAATATCGCGGTAGATAGATAAAATTGTTTTCGAAATGAATAAATTCACAAAATATAGGAATGGTTTTATGAGAAGCTTAGTTTTCAAAGAACACGCCTGATGCCAATGCTTACACTAGCACTGTAGCCAAAATTCTCTTTCAATAGGATCTCGGCATCTTGGGTATATTTTTGAAGAAAAAAACATTCTCAAAAAGATGTGATAAATTTGATAACATAAATTTATGAAAAAAAGGTGAACCTAGAACTAATCTAAATATACAAAGTTCTCAAAACCAATAATGAGTGTTCAGGAAAAAAAAAACATATTTTTAAGACAAATCGCATTGCTACATTTTTACTGGCAGAACCCCTTCTAAAGGTAGACCACAAAACTAAATCTTTTGCACTTTGTTAGATTTTCGCCATTTCAGACAAATTTTGAAACCCTAGTTGTAGTGTTTGTTGGAGTTGAGGAAGAGATTACTGTGTACAAAATCCGTTGCCACAAAAAAGTAAGTTAGATAACTCAGAATGTTTTGAATAAGAGAATAGTGGTCAGATAATCGGTATTGTGCTGGTTTTAAAATGTTAAGATGTCGAAATTTCAACGTTTAGTAAACCTCCAAATTGGTTTGATTTTTTCATGAAAAAACACAGTTAACCAGTCTGGGAAAAAAATCTAGTAAACTTCATGCTGTAAAGTTTCGATTGATAGAAGGTCGTTTGGAATATCCGTGAAACTAGAAACTTTTAAACTAGCTCTAACTAGTTGAGACGTGAGTGAATCTTTAGAGCTTCTGTATTTTATCAAAGTATTCACCATATGAAATTTCATGGAGAGATAAAGGTAATCCAAAAAGTAACCGAAAAAAAAGTGTGACTACCGATAAAAAACCCTGACTCGTTGGCGACGACACCGAGTGAGAGAGCACATCCATTATCCGGCTTGCAGGCCAGGATAGAAGAAGCGCTTTAAAATTAGGTAATAGCTGGTTCTGGCGCGTCTCATTCCCGGAGAGCTGCCACACCAGACTTGATATAATGACGTTGTCCTGCTCTTCGCGTCCATCAATGCGCCAATATAGTGTGCGCATTCAATGATCGGTAATGGTGAGGACAAGATTGCAGAATTTGTTGGGATGTTCCTCCCTTATCCCGAAGAAGCCAGCTGACAACCAAATTCTGTCGCTCATAAAATTGTATCTAAAATGTCGTCAATTAGGTTGTTGCGAGAGAGTAACTGCACAGCCGGAAGGAAGGGTGATTTCCAAGATGACAGGAAAATGAGGGAAATATTGTCATGGGTCAGTGAGCTTAGAAATGAGAGCTGTTAGATCTGAGTTGTTAATTATCGTTTCTTCTCTTTTTAAAAGAATATAAGACGGATTTATCTGGTTAAAAATCCAGGTTTACAATCTACAACAGAAACAAATTTTAAGTTTATCAATTATCCAAATAAAAAGTTTTGAACCCCAATTTAGATTAGAGTGGTTAATTTTTTGGAATTCAGTATTTATTGAACTGGAAAATTTCCACGTTCATTCGAAACACAGTTCTCATAATTTTTATTTTTCTGAAATTGCCCACACTTTTAGATATTCACATTTCCCGAAGTATAGACAAAACAATGACATCCTTTTTACATCTCTCTCTCTCTCTCTTCCCTTTTACGCGGCTCCTAGGAAAATATGGAGATGGTGAACAATCATAAAATATTCACAACTTATGACTTGTCACGAAACAGAATTAAACGCGCCTCGACGCGTCAAAAGACATAAGCAAGACAACACATACTGTCATTGAAGACGCGGTGTCTTCTGAATAAAATAATAATCTTTCCTTGTGTGTTCCCTTTGCTTCTTGAATAATATTCCACAGTGAATATTCTATTAAATTCAATGCGTTCGTGTTCTATGTTCGGTCTTCTTTCTCTCGCAAAAAATAGACTGATGTCTCTATCTTGACCCATAATGTGTTTGTCCTAAGTGAGGGAAAGCATCAACTGCTGCTCCTGCTGCCCACCAAACATATAATTAGGCTCGTTTTACTTAACATCCTCATAGTCATTACAGTAGCCAGAACGATAGTCTAAGATGGGTTGAAGCTCCTATGTCTTCTTATCCTCGAGCCTTCTAGCATTTGCGCGAGAGTCATGCGTCGCGGGATGTTGCCTGCCAGCCAGCTGCCTTTCCAGCCGTCTCTTTCCGGTTTTATGTCTTCGAGTTTACGACCCAGGCCGTTAACCCACGAATTTGCTATTCAATACCTTTTGGCGTTTGCTTCATTTGTGGGTATGTATGTATGTGTAACGTTTGGGGCTGTATGTCAGACATGGATATATTACCAAATACTTTATTTCTTGCTAGATTAGTTTTCGACAGAAAAGTGATTTACTACCAAAATTGGGAAAATCACATAAATCTGTAACGACATAGGTATGATTAAAATTGACGTAAATGTGGAAAACAAAATTAAAAACGAGATTGAGGTAGACTACGGTAGCTGCGGTTGGTTGGAATTAGTTTTTCTGGATAAAACAAATGATCAAGTTTTTCGGGTTGATTGGCGTTAGAAGAAAATAATCAGAAAAAAGAAAGTGAAAGGGGTCTACTTCTTTCCATAGCCTCCAGCAGAGTAACCACCGCGAGATGGTTTTTCAGGCTCATCATTGGTATCCAGCTCGGAAACTGATGGAGCAACAATCTCTTGAACTCCACACGAAGATGGACAATGACCTCCTGGTTCTCCCGAATCTCCTGGTGGTCCGAATGGTCCTGGTGGTCCTGGCTCTCCTCTTGGTCCTGGAGGTCCTGGTGGTCCCATCTCTCCGATTGGTCCTGGTGGCCCACTGTTCTGCGATGGAAGTCCGTTGGCTCCTGGTGGTCCTTTTGGTCCTCTTGGGCCTGGTGGTCCTGGAGGTCCTTTAATTCCAGTTCCTCCGATCGAATCATCTCCTGGGGGTCCCTTGATTCCTGGCTCTCCTTGCTCTCCTGGTTCTCCTTGGGGTCCGGCGTCTCCGACACGTCCTGGCTTTCCTGGTCTTCCTGGGAGTCCGGGATGTCCTGGTTCTCCTGGCACTCCTGGACGTCCAACTTCTCCCTGTGGTCCACGAGTTCCTGGTGGTCCGGCTGGGCAAATGACACATGGGAATGCTGGTTCAGGATCGAGTGGTACATCAAGTCCATCGAGTCCTGGTTTTCCTGGTCTTCCGTTAGCTCCATCCATTCCTGGTTCACCTCCGACTCCTGGTGGCCCTGGTGGTCCTGGTGGGCATCTGAGTTGAACACAAGAGGTACATTGTTGATTGTCAGCTTGGGCACTATCAGTTCCATATCCCCCGTATTGTCTCCTGATTCTCCCATTGCTCTTCACCAAAACAATGTCGTGCCAGATGTTGCGAGCAACGAACTGGAATAAAAGGATGTTGTTTTTTATGCTTTCGATGTTATGTTTATCTTATACACCCGCTTTGATTTTTGTTTTTACTTTTTTGTTGTTACTCTTTTAGTCGCTACATAGACGTTTTCACGCACAACTGCATCACCTACCTTGAAAGATCCCATTCGGTTCTGAAGACGTTCGTGTGCCTCTTCCAATTGAATGCTGAGCATTGTTAACACAGCTCCAAGAACCAAAACACTGACTAAACTGACAGCCATAGTGACTTTCGCCACATTGTTTGCCCCAGTTTCGGGCTTATTGATCATACCTAAATATTTTAACATCAACTATTGAATCCAAGTATTCATTTCACAGAATAAGAAAACATTTGGTGCACAGGAAAGAAAGCATAATTGTTGGAAAAAGCAAGAAAAGGAGGAGAGAAAAATGATACAATGAATGGAATCGGATGAGAAATAACGGATTGCATAAAGAGTGTGGGAGGTGGCGTATCTGTTAAGTAGGTCAGTCTTGATCGACACAATAACCCAATTGTCGGAGATAAGGAATCATTTCAAACGGGGGGGGGGGGAGGGGGAAAGAGAAGTACAGAAAGGAAATGAGAAAAGGGAGGAAATCGGGAAAATCAAGAAAAGATGAGAATAAAGAAAAAGAATGCGATTACAAGAAGACTGTTCCGGAAAGGTCATTATTGTCACCACCACCATTAGTTAGGCCTTCTCTATTGAGATTTTCAATAGCACGAGCTTCTTTCTGAAAAGGTTCAAATAATCTGATTGAAAAATAGTTTAAAAATCTGAAAAAAAAACAATATCAACTTTATTTGAGTGAATTTCTATGAAAATGTTGTTGAAATTATGAAAATATTGTTGATGGTATACAGACTGTTCCGTTAGTCGTCAAAATTTTGAATTTTCTAATAGGAATTGAGATAATTGAGATCAAAGTGCAAATATATGGTAGCGGTCTTATAGAGCATTGCGTTTACAGAAACTATATAATTATAGATTCAACTGAAAGTTCAAAATAAAACTGATGTCTTTTCAGGATAATTTTAAAAAAACAATTAAATCAATTTTCGTCAATGAGAACAACATTTTCAACAAGAAGGCACATTTCCACAAAGTGATATAGGGGCACAAAATCTACAACTTGGTGATCAAATTCAAATTTTTCCAGATATTGTGTTCCTTTAAATTGCTTTGTACCCCAACGACCCCAAAACTTTTGTAACCTTTGTTTGCCTAACGAGCAATGAAAAATTCTCAAAAGTTGGAAACATGCAACATACTGGAGTCAAAGACATTCTTGCGAATTGACACGTCATGTTTGATGTAGATGGTTGATTCGAACTTGAACATTCCCCATTTCCTGCTGCCGATGTCGAAGCAGAATTCTGTAACTACTTTCCGACTCCAAAGGAAAAACGCGTATAAACTCACATCTTCTAACAACTGCTGAGTTGCATGATGCAGTACGGTGCTCTTCTTCATCTGCGCCTCATGATCCGTCTTCCGGTTCTCATCAAATCCCGCTCTCATCTGATCCACCAAACATGCCGTAAAAATGACCCATGCCTGTCCGGCACCTGGCAAATCCCGAACAGCCTCTTGTGCTAGAACAACATCAATCATGACTTCTCCGAACTTTTCCCAATAGTTTCCAGCAAGGCCATATGGCTTCAAGATGCTATGTGCACGTCCTAAATTTTGAAAAACGCGGTTAGTAAAAAAAGAACACGTGTTGCATACCAATTACTCTTGGGTCATTCTCTGTTCCCGTATCCGATCTTTTGGATTTCTCAACGTCAAAGTTTTTGATGACGGAATCCACCATTTTTACACAATTCTTTGAATGATCTCGTAGAGTGGAAGTTGTTCCGCGTGACATAGCACACAAAAACATTCTCGTTGAAAACATATCCCGAATATTTGGCAAGTTTTTTACCAACTTGTCAAAAACCTGTAACTTGATTAGTTTCTTGATCCAAAATTTTTTGCAAGGTTACCTCTTCGAAAACATTCTCAACTCGTTTTCCTCCATTTCTTGTCTGAAGTCGGTGCCAGGTGAATCGAATGGCTCGTTTCTGTATTTTGCTCAAGCGTGTATCATAGTTGTAATGTTTGAGGGCAGGTGTTGGCGGTGCAGCTGAAATTTCCATTAATATAATTTTATTTCAACTAAACAGGTTACCTTGATGTTGTAAATCATAAATGCTCGGCATACTGCTACTCTTTCTCGCCGTTTTTCCATCTTCCAGAAAGTTCGAGTCCACGGAGCCACAGCCAGTCTTCTTTCGAACGGTCCGGCTAGAACTCACGCTTCGCATTATGAAAAATTGATATGATAGCTACAACTGTTGGGCAATGCACAATGGGGGTTATAGACCCCTGGAGGTTAGATATTCATGCGAGATGTTTTGTGCTGCTTTTGTGTGAAAGGAGAAAGAGGTGTGAAATGGAAAAATTAGATTTCGTTGAAAAAAAAAACTGCCGTCAAAGGATAGTTGTTCAGAATAAAATATAAGTCTGGAGTTATGAACTAGAAAGAAAGAAAACTAAAAAGGTGACGCAAGACATATCTTGTTTTAGAGATGCTGAAATGACGTAAAACTGCAAAAATACCTTCTTTTCGGTCTGAACTGGGAAGAATCTCCAGCACGATCTTCTCCGTTTGCACTTGATTCTTTTCGCGCCTGGAAAAATAAGAAAAACTTTTTTTTGTTTTACTGCAAACTTTTCAACCACATCTATAACTAGTCAGGAATGTTCAGAATGACCTATACTGAATTTCGGGAAATTCGAGAAATCCAATTTTCAAAATTTCGGAGTTTCCCGATTTTGAAAAAGTCGGGGAATTCCAATTTGGAAAAATTCATAATTTTGAAAGTTTCAAAACTGTTCAATATTCAAATTTTAAAATAGAAATCCTATTTTTCCTATTAAAAAGAGCCAAAAAATTATGACAAATTGACAAAAAAATTTCGGAACGAACAAAAAATTCAAGTGAATCTTCATAAGACCCGGCCGGAATATCATTCCAAACGTTTTCGAAATTTCCTGAATTCCAATTTTGGTTTCCAACATCCCTGCTGAATAGTGCAATAAATAAAGTATAGTAATCTTCCAAAATTTTTTGAAATTCTGAGATAAATCCTTATTTCAAAGTTTGTAAAGTTACGAATAACCTAGAACATACAGTTTATTGAATTAAAATTTCCAACAAAATTGTCCAATAAACAACAAATTAACGAGTTCTGTAAAGAAAAGTGAGATATATGAAAAATTGTTATACCTGTGAACTGGATTGTGCAGCCGCTGCTGCATCAGCTGCCAAATGCTCATCTTTCTCCTGCTTCTCAAGTTCGTGTAAAAGCCGACGACCACGAACGATTTTTGCAATGAGAAACATCACGAACTTCTTCTGAATATAATTTAGGTAAATCAGTAGTAAATGTTATATGAAAGAAAATGAGCAACGTTGACGATTCGTATAAAAATAGAAAAATAACACAAGGGATGAGGGTGTCAAATGAGGAATAAGTTGGTTTTGATCCTACAAGTACATATTATCCGATAAGAAGCAGAGTCACAACATTTTGGCCACTCCGCCTGAAACTACGCACGCAGTTGTTTGATCATAGCCGATCGGAAAGCAATCTGATCTTAGTTACTGGTTATTCTAGGAAAGGAATGAAATGCACATCGTGTGATCAGAAATAAACCAGAATGAAAGGCAATGATGAGAACAAGGTATAGAACAAGGCTATAAAAATAATAAAAACCATATCACATATCTAAAATTGCCCTTTTAAGGAATATTAATTCTTTTAATCAGAGATAATGCGGTCTACTTCAGAAAAATTGTTTGAGGTACAGGTGATATAAACCTAGAAAAAAGAGGCATGATATATTCCCAGGAAAAGCACAAAAATCTCAAAATTTGATTGAAGCTAACTTCAAAACTCAAAATAGAAAGAGCAATGAAAAGAAGAGGAAAAAAACAAATTGGTAACTGACCGGAAGCCGCTCTAGGTAGAAAGATAATTTCACTTCCTTTGTCGCCCAGGTCTTTTGCTTGTCTACCACCTCCACATTCAAAAAAAAACCTTCACATAAGAAAAAAACTGGGCAAGATTTGCTTATTCTTCTAGAATTGGTGGGGCCAGCGCGATGGGACCCACCGAGTGGGAGTGCATATAACAAAGAAGTTAGGCCGCGAATCGATGCACTAATTGAAGCCATTAGCATGTTGGAATGTTGGGGAGACTCTTCTCTTCAGGTGGAAGGCAACGACTCTCTTTCTTTTTTCCTACCCCTTCCTTTCCTTTTTTCTTCCTTCCGACCAAGCACATCGTAGGCTGGAAGAGAAAACGTGGAGAAAAAAAGAGCAACATAAACCACTTCTTTTTCTGGTCTTTTCCGTTTTTTCTTATGTTGTTTCTTTTTTTTATTACCAGGTGTGGTAGACAGATTTAAAAAATGCATACGATTTTGATTGGTGTGTCCATGTCAGGTTCGAAAACATCACAAGGCAAGTCATAAGGATTACGGTAGGCAGAAAACGTGAGAAATAGAGATTACAGTAGTATGAAACGTATTTTTTCATCCTACAAACAGGAATCCCTTGAATATTTTGAGCAATACTCTAAATCTATCATAGCTACCTTAGGGTCAGGAATTCATTTTGTACTTTTTGGTGTTATATATTAATAAATGTACAATGTCGGTTAATAACAAAAATTTGCTTTTCAATTGATTTTAACCACTTTCAGGAGTGGAGCTCGGCGGTCAAATTTCCGATCACTTTGAAACCGAAAGACACCGGCTTTTTTCACGTTTTCTGTACAAAATCGACAACTGAAAAACTAGAAAATTAAAACAATTCTGTGAATGCAAGTTTTTGATCTACAAATTACAAATTTTTAATTTTTATTAGGTTGGCGGGAAAGTCTTTGTCACTCTGTTTGTTTAATCACTTTTCTCGTATATGGAGGCTGTGTATGATATCGACTCTAGTGAATAACAAGGTGATAAGAACCTTCCATATAAACAAGTCCCCATTTCCTTCCCTGCTCCTCATCTGTAATTGAAACGATATGTTTGTTCCCACTGCTATTCACATCAGACATGTTTTGATTTACCTCTTCCTATCTCACACCACGATGAAGGATTCGGAAACTTTCTTGAAGAATGTGTACAACACACATGCCCCTCACTACAATACTATTCGCAATTGGTTCCATCGTTTCGAAAAAGATGACTTCTCGCTCGATGAAAAGGATCGCTCTGGGAGACCCCGTGAGTTGGATTTGGACAAGCTGAAGCACGCATTGCAATCGGATCCATTTCAATCTAGCCGTGAACTAGCTGTCACATTCGGAGTTCACCATAGCACAGTCCTTGAAGGTTTGAAGTCTCTTGGAATGAGAAAACTTTTTGGTCGATTCATACGTCATCACCTGACTCAAGCCAACCTTGACCGCCGAGTCGACGATTCGATTACTCTTCTCACTCTCCACGCGGGCGATCGATGGCTGGACCGGCTAATAACCGGAGATGAGAAGTGGGTCTTCTACGATAATCACCACAGGAAATCCCAGTGGGTTGGAGAAGGAGAGAGCCCACAGGATGTCCCCAAACCCGACCTTCATCCGAAAAAAGTTATGCTCTCTGTGTGGTGGGGAGTGGACGGCCCCATCTACTGGGAACTTCTGCCCGAGGGCAAAACAATAACTGGAGACCTCTACACTACTCAACTACGAAACCTCAAGAAAGCAGTCGACCGTTCGGCCCTGAAAGACAAGAAAGTGTACTATCAACATGATAACGCTCGCCCACATGTTTCGAAACAAGTGAAGCAGGAGCTGATGGGATATGGATGGAATGTTCTCCCTCACCCCCCGTATTCTCCTGATCTTGCTCCTTCCGACTATTGGTTATTTGGCGATATGACACGTGCCTTCGAAGGAAGAAGCTTCAATTCCCGTGGAGCGGTCGAAGCGGCACTCAAACAATACTTTGCCTCACGCCCGGCTGGATTCTACCGCAATGGAATCCATAAATTGAGGGAACGTTGGAGACATGTTGTTGATAATGATGGACAATATAATTAATTATTCGGTTATTTTTTCTTTGAGAAATAAACTATTGAAAAAGTGACAAAGACTTTCCCGCCAACCTAAATATTTGCCGGTACTGTACGCATTCAAAGAAGCAAAACATGCCATTTCAGAAACATTCGAATACATTCATCTATAATTATCTAATAAGTTGAAAATTGCGATGTTCAGCGGCAGAGAGCAAGAATCACGGGTCTGAATGAAATTGGAGCTTTTGGAAAATACATGGTCTCAAAACGAAAATTCCAATCTCTATCTAAACCCCACCCATTTTCTTTTCACTTTTTGTGCTACTATAGCTGCAGCTTAAACTGATTCTGTAAAATGGCCGAACTCTCATTTCCTAGTGCTTCAAAAAAAACTGCAGAACTAAATTAAACTTTTCAGAAAATGATACAAGACACCCAGGAAATGGGATCAAATTCTGAAAAAAACGCTGACTAAGAGGAAGACAAAAAATGCAAATTTCCGGTTCTGCACTGGCATTCTCAGCAAAGCAAAAATAGAATGAAAATGCATTAGAAATTTTGGAACATGAAAGAAGTCAGGCATAAGAAAGAAAAACAGTGGTTCGAACTATATAGGCGTCTAGGAACCCTTAAATATTAGTAACCAAAAATCTACACCTAGAAAACAGGTTCCAACCAGAACACCCTAGAAGGAAATGGATGAAACTGAAGAAAGGGGGGAGGAGGTGGAGTGAGAAACAAATAAAAGGAATGAGCAAGTACTAAAAAAGTGGGAGCCGCCCGAAGCATGACAAGAAGAAGGCTCATAGAATGGAGTTCGACGGGGACTCGCCTTCAAATCGCTAATTTTATTCGAATTTGCAAAAACAAAGAGAAGAGACAAGAAGAAGGACAAGAGAAACAAATGAAGTCATTTCTTCTGTCTCTTGACGCGGGACCACAACTAGCGACTCGTGAGGAATCGGTTTCTCCTTCCTATTTTCTTCTCCGCCGCCTGTGTGCGCATCTCAACACCACCATCACTAACCATCCAACACCATCATTTGTTTTTTAACGCGACGAAAATTCCATCGGCATCTTGGACTCCGCCTTTTTTCCCAAAAAAAAGTGGCATGTAATTAAGAGAAAAGCAAAGGGAAATGCGGGAAGGACACTGGAATCAATCTCGGGAGAAGAAGAGTTTTCTGATGTTCCCTCCCCATCTCATTTTGGGGTTACGATAGGGGTGGAGAATACATAAAAACAAAGGTTTTTTGTTTGTTGGGAAGTGCAGATAAGATCCAAACATTTTCATACCAGCCTTTATAAATCTAGTATCCATATTTGAAAAATCGGGGTCCGGATTTCTCATATTAAAAAATGGTACCCAGTTTATTTTTCAAACTTCGTATTTGGCAAAAATTTCGCGGATATTTTTCATTGATCTCTGAATTTTTTTTTTGACAAGACAAAAATTCTGGAAATCCAAGTCGAAACGGGCTAGGTTCGAGCCGAAACGAGGAATTTCAAAGAGAAACCCGGCCCGTCACAAGTATGGTATAAATAGTGCTTACTGTGATAATTCGAATTTCCAGGTAAAAAAATGTTATTAGAAATTACAACATACAGACGTATTTAAACTTCTCTCTTGTCTTTCTAGTTTGCCAGTTTTCTAGTTCCACCCAGATTAAAAATTCAACAGTCAATTTGAAAAACTAAAACAATAAGAACCCCATTAACTATTCTTATTCTCCTATAGAAAATCGAGAAACTGGAATAATTTGAAATCCGCGATGTTTTGAATTTTGTATTGGAAATAAGGTGTGGATTTGGTTCCCGGATGAATGCAAAATGGTGGATTTGGTTGAAGGCACAAAAAAACACGTGGGTGTCACTTTGACAGGCTAAGGTGACATGAAAAATGGGTGAGAGAACAGCTGGTGGGAGAGAAAAGAATAAACATGGAAACCAATATTACTCTTGTACTAAATCATGGAGGGTTGAGAGCGGATATCTCGTTAAATTCATTGAAGGCACAGAAGCGCGCTACCGTATCTTTCGAACATGAAAAAGATTTGAAGACATTTTCTCAATTTTTCGACGACTCTCGCCTTTTTCTAAATGTGAATTGGAAAAATGAGTTGAAATGATGAAAATCATTGGAAAAACGATAAAAATCGTCGAAAAATTGACAAAATTGAGAAACCGTTCTTATGATGAACAAATGAAGTTGCATCCGTGTTATACTTTTGTCACTCTGTCCGCACGATTTTTTGAAAGCATGAGAACTAAATGTAGGTTGAATTGACCTTTCAGAAATTCAAGAAAAAATAGTTAGAAATGGAGCAACGAGAACGCGTTGAAAGCGCGCCAACCAGGCTAGTAATATTTCGAATAGGCTCGAAAATACAGTAATTCGCTCTTTCAGGGTGGGTTTTCGTTTTTAAAAACAAGAAGAATCTAAAACTAAATATCTTGAAACACAATAGAGTATATTTTCCCACAACGACAGATTTCTTTCCATTGCCATATCAACCGATAACTCTGAAAATGTAAGTTTCAGATAATCGAAAAATTTTTTCACAAAAAGTTCCATTGGAAAACATTGGAACTTATTTGATAAATGTGGGTAAGTGTTGAAGGACATTGATCCACCCACATTTTCAGCAAAAAAAAAAAGAAAAATCTCACCCAAAAAAAAGAACCGGACAAAAATAATATAGCCTAAATACAAACAACAAAGGGGAAACGCAGACCTATACATTGTTAATATACTCATAAATGTATTTGCCTTTTGAAATTATGACACTCGTTTGTTTCTGAATTCTCTATTATGACGCACGTGGAACGAGAATTTCGCCACCCCAGGCTCATTTTTCATATTGCAGGAAGGAACTTTTTTGCGTATGTGTGTAACAAAAATAGCTGCTTTGTATGTACATTGCAATTATTTTTGTTTCTACGTCATTCATTGACAATGAGACCATAATTTTATAATTTTCAGTAATTCATATGAGCAACTTGAATTATATTCTTTTTTCCATCTGAAATACTTCATCTAAGGCACCAGAAAACTTTACCAAACCGAAATCCCCTGTGTTCTGGCGTCGTCATTCACTTGTTGATCCAGACAGTCCCAGTCAGACGAAGAGACAAAAATGTACCCCCTCTTGATGATGCTTATTTCACATGTTTGTGTTTGTGTTTCATAATTGGCTTCTGTTGGATTTTGGCAATGAAGGGAAGATGAATGCTTGACGCAAAAATTAGAACAATTGTGAATGTGTTGTGCAATCTGGAGAGATGTCGGATGTCACTTTTCCGCCCGCCACCAGGTTGTTTGAAAATTAAGTCCGAGCGTCCCTCACTCCATTTTTTTGGCTACCGCCTTCCACTGTCTCCCTCTTTTCCATTTTTTTTCGCATCTTGCTGCTTCTTCGCTCATTCGCTTTTCTTGCTTCTTCCAGCCACCATTGAGGTGCGATGCAAAAACTCTTGTAGAGGGAAAATGAGAGAAAGAGAGTGACTTGTGGGGGAGTATGTGCGCAATTATATTGGAAGGCCTAGCTATGCAGCGCGCACCGAAGGATGATGCCGGTTCTACGAACAAGTACTCGTTGACGATTTGATGCTTACAAAGATTTGTTGCGGGATGAGGAAACAGATGAAATGAAGGAGTAGGAATATGAGAAAGTAAAAATGGCTGGAGGGGGGGGGGGGAGGACAAGACACTCCTAAACAATTTATTTTGAAGAGTATGTGAGTGGGAATTGTGATGGCATCCTAGGAACGTCGGTTTACTAGTACACATTCGCCCACAATTCTTATTGCCATGTCGTTCTGATTGATTTGATGAAGCACCTTCCATTGTGGATCCTAAGCAGTGCTGGTAATTATACACGCGTACTTAAACAGACATCAAGTGACATGTCACACTGAGAAAAGGAACGTAATGATCCCTGTTTATCTAATGAAAACACTTTTACTAATTGAAATTCGGAAAAGTTTACATTGAATTACAAAGCCATGAGAACAACTGACTTTCTGAAAATGAAACGAAATTGAAGATGAAAGTTTCAGCATGGGTGGGCAGAAAAGTGAAAAGAAGTCTAGAATTTTCAGACAGGAACTTTGCCCTGTATTTTTAGAATTACACCAGTTGTTCAAAAATTAGTTATTTCAGCTCAACCATTATAATCAAGAAGTGCCAATGAGATCAAGTCCTAATGAATAAAAAAATTCGAAGATATCATCAAATGCCTTATTTAATCATTTTGAGCGGTATTCCTGAAAAAAAAACTTTTGTTACTTGAATTTAACCATGCATTCTTACAGTAGTGTTGAAGTACAATGTTTACTAATACGCAAAGATGATATTTGATGCAATGTAACAACGAACCTACCAAATTCAAGTTAACATGCACAAAGTTTCGACAATTTCAGAAACTTCGAACTAAAAATCGTACCGCCTAGAAGGTTTCAATGGTCGATTCTAAGAATCGACAGAACTGTCAGCCACAACTTTAGACGTTAGTGTGGCTCCTGTATCCAAACTCATCAATCATAGTCTTAGTTACAGGGCGTGCAATTCTAAACCTTTTTGTCATCCACCGTAAACAGTCTAATAAAACGCCCCTGCCTCAAAATCTCAAATTTTGAGCCTAGATATCTCATTTCCTGTACAATCTATCAAAATTTAGTCAACTAACAAAATGTTTATTAAAATGTCAACAATATTGCATCAGTTAACAACTTTCTGATATTTCTCACAGGAAGATAAAGTGTCTCAAAGTTTAAAATTCGGGAATTATTCTTATCTGACAGACCGGGTTTTCAAACTCAAATTTTGGTAACTGAAAAATGATTTTTTAAAAATTTACATTTGAAAAACTATTCCAAATTTCCAGGCAAACATTTTGATTTTTTCGCAACGACACCGATATACCGTAAAATCTCTAATAGAGTAAGTCAATCTTTCAGGTTTCTGTCAAAAATATCTAAAAATAATCAGCTGTTCAAATGTTAAACATAATATGAATAGTTTTGTTTGTTGAAGATGTTTTGATATATTTCACTGAAACCGAGACAAGGGTGCAACTTTATTACATATTTTACATTTTCAGTTTCATATGATTCTTCAATCTGTTTTGAAACCCCCGATTGTCTATCCCAGATGACTGTAATCTTTGATAACGATCCCGTTTTCACACCCCGGTACCATTCAGCGATTGGCAGTGCCAAAACACTGTTTTCGTAACCAAAGTGTAAGATGATCTTCCCAGATAACGGTCGGTTTTTAGCTGTATGAGAAAAAGAGCGAAAACCCTGTCGGTCCGGATGGGCACTGGTGAAAAAGCTAGGAGAGAAAGCGAGCGCGGCGCGCAATGAATGAGATTATATCATTGTGTTTGTGTTTTTACAGTAATTATTATAACCGTCGTTTCCTACTGCCGCTGCCTTACTGCTATTGCCAACCAAGAAATTTCCTCTACATCTGATGCCTTACTCACCATTAAGCATCATCAGGGGCCGTCCCCTCTTGTGTGTGAATATCCGCATTTCTATATTCCCTCATCCTCCCTCATCCCTCTTACTCCCTCGGCTTCTCTGTATTTGTGGGTGGAGATTGCGCCAAACTGCGCAAACACTTGTATATAAAAGCCACACCAATTGTCAAAATTCTTTAATTATTCGCAGACAACTCTTTCTTACAGGCGGTGCGTAGTGTGTCTCGTATATTCTAAGAATTACAGACACATATAACCAAGTCATGACGACATCCTCCGGTTCCTCGGATGATCTGAAAAGTCTACAAGAGCAAGCCAAGTCTCTAAGAAAGTATGATTTTTATTATTTTGAAGTCCCTTTCTTTTTATTCTGTTGTACCTTGTTATATCACTCTCTTTTTTCTAGATTTGCTTTCTATGGAGTTGCCACTTCCACGATTGCTACATTGTTCTCTGTTATTTCCGTTCCGATTTTGTACAGTGTCATGCAACATATGCAATCTAATATGCAGTCTGAAGTTGATTTTTGCCGACTGAGGTCTGGCAATATTTGGAGAGAACTTTCGAAAACACAGGTACATTTCACTTTCCACCTTCACTAGCTATATAACCTTATTATAATAATAATTTTTTCCACCAAACAACAACACAAAGAAAAAACTTCAGATCTTGACCCAAGTTGCTGGTGGCGCAATTGTTCGCTCCCGTCGTCAAGCTGGTTACAGTTCCGGTCCACTTGAGAGTAATGATCTACACCTTTCTCTTTTTTGCATTCAAACATCAAAGTAATTTTAAAGACTTAAAGGTGTTTTCTAGGTGCTGTTGAATCTGCACCAGCCAATGTAGGAGGTGGTGGTGGAGGTTGCTGTGGATGCGGAGTATCTCCTCAAGGACCACCAGGAGTTCCTGGAAGAGATGGTGATGATGGAGCTGATGGAGAAGCTGGAGCACCTGGAAAGGACGGACCAGATGGACCAGCAGCCACTCCAGCTCCAAACTATGAATGGTAAGACTCATAAAAAGAAACTGAAGTAATTTTGCTTCCGATCAGGTGCTTCGATTGCCCACCAGGAGCCCCAGGACCAGCTGGAAGTCCAGGAAGCAAAGGACCAAACGGAAATCCAGGAGCTCCAGGAAAAGATGGTCCCATCGGAAACAAGGGAAGCCAAGGACCACCTGGAAACCCAGGAGCACCAGGTTCCAATGGGAATCCAGGAAACGCTGGAAGCCCAGGAACACCAGGAAAAACTATTGAAGTACCAGCTCCAGCTGGACCAGCCGGAGCTCCAGGACCAGCAGGTCCACCAGGTCCAGGAGGAAATCCAGGAGGGCCAGGACAACCAGGAAAGGATGGCTCACCTGGAGATGCTGGTGACAATGGAACTGCTGGAGCACCAGGAAAACCCGGAGGAGAAGGACCAGTTGGGCCAGACGGAGCTAGAGGACCAAGTGGAGGATGTGAACATTGCCCACCACCAAGAACTGCACCAGGATATTAGATACTGTTTTTTTGTATATCTATCATAATTTGACACCCTTTTATGTTACTGTGATATTGCCGACAATTTCGATGTGCTTTAACAACTTTATCATCACGTTTTTCAGTGATCTGTACCTGTTTTTTCATAACCTTCTTCCATATTGCTACAGTGATTTTTTCTCCCTATCTCCAGTGTATTTTTTTCGTTCCTTGAATTTTCGTGTGTATCTAAATTATATCCCAAGAAAAAAAAACAAATGAAACTGTTTTCAAAATCACATCGCGTCATTGTTTATTTCCGGAAATCAAGCGGAAAAACAATTTTGAAACAATTCAAACCGTTTGGGAGAAGAGGAAAAAACAAAATAAAAAGCACGCGGAACATTCTTTCGATCGTTTTTCATTTTTCTCCTCTGCGACCAAAAAAAATGGCTATCCGATTGGACGGTTGACGTTAACCGTATAAAATTTACATTTCCCGGTTTTGCATTTATAATTTTTCACTATTGAAAAATTGATTTTATTTCAGTTTTCAGATTTTTTAGCGGAAAATGTTCCAAGAAAAAGACGTTGGGCAGCCCAAAAGATGGGGATGTTTGGTCGCGGTTTTTGTCATTGTGTGTTTGTTTTTCAATTGTTTTTCTAATCATTGCGACAACTTGATTATTCAGATGACCGTTTTCAATATTGCCGTTGTCATTATCATCCGAGGACTTTTAGATACAGAGGATGAGTTCGACAATCCTATTATTCAAGGTAGGATATATTCAAGAAGAATTCTCAAGAATAAATTTCGATTTTCAATATGTTTATTGATATAGGAAAGGGGGAATTTCAAAATTTTTTAAATCGTCGATTTTTTTTTTCGAAAATCCAAACAATTCTGTGACAATTAGACAGATCTCACTACTAAAAATATAAAAAGTGTCGACTATGTTGAATTTCGATAAAAAATAGCAGAGATGTTGGAATCTCAATGATTCTACATTCATCATGATTTTTACTTATTTCTCATTCATTTAAACATGTTTACGTGAAAATTATTTATTTAGATCATTAATTATAAAAGAGAAAAAACACAAATTTATTGAAGAACACAGAAAGGAAGCCACTTCTTTTCACGTAAAAAGACAGAAAAGAAGAACCTTCGAAGGGATAGTGGTTTTGAAGATTGGCGCCATGCAGTATGAGTACTTGACACAAACCTGTTCAGAATTTCATTTTACGATTTACGACTGCTCTAATTTTTTTCAAATTCTGGGAAACCGACGTTCGGTTTCTGGGAAGTGAATTCTCGAAGTTATTTATTTGGCTTCGGGACGTTTCAGAACCCGACGTTTCAGAACCACGACGTTTCAGAACCCGACAGTTCAGAACCCGACAGTTCACCCGAACGTCCCGGAGCCATTTATTTATGGGATTATAAAGTAATCGAGTAGCTAAAATGAAATTCTGAACAGGTTTGTGTCAAGTACTCACACTGCATGGCGCCAATCTTCAAGACCACCATCCCTTCAACTCACCATTCAGATTCACCTTCTCGAGTTTTTGTTTCAAGTCCACATCCAAAGTAGCTTCAATTCTCTGCAGTTGAAGTTCACGTTTTTGTCAGGAATAATTTGAACTATTTCCCCCCACACTGAAAAATCACAGAAAGGAAGGTTCTTCTTTTCTGTCTTTTCACGTGTCTATTCCTTTCTGCACAGAAAAGAAGTGGCTTCCTTTCTGTGTTCTTCAATAAATTTGTGTTTTTTCTCTTTTTAATTGATGATCTAAATAAAAAAATTTCACGTAAACATTTCTAAATTAATCACTATTGTAACCATATTTTTTAGTGAATTTGGAAAAATGAAAACAGATAAGAATACTTTTATTGTCTCTAATATATTTTCTGGAAAAGCACCCAAAAGCAAACTTTTTATGAAAAAAATCGACGATTAAAAAATTTTGAAATTCCCCCTTTCCTATATGATTTCATTCCCATTCTATTTTTAAACTAGAAATCAGAGCGATAAAAGCTGTTTTGAATGGTGTTTCAGATTTAAATCTTTAAAAATGTGGTTCAGCATTTCGACTAAATTTTAGACAAGAATTTTTTAGGCGAAATGCGAGAAGAGTTGACTGCGTTTCTGGGAATTTTCACTATGACATTCTTTTTCTGCTGCTGTGGTTGCTTCTGCTGTGGATGTGCTTGTTGCAGGTACCGTTTTCTCACAATTCACATTTTCGAAACAATTTTTTCAGATGGTGTTTCTTCCAGTTCCCCTATGGAGTTGCCAAACTTTGGCGTGCGATTCCAAATCTTTTTGTCAATAATATGGATCATTTCCCAATTCAAAAATTTAAGGAAACAGGTATCTTTCTTATATATATACGTTACACGTGTCTGTCTGTCCTGTTGTCAAGATGTCCGCTCTTGGAAAACTTAGAAAATAAGTATAGATTTACGTGACCGTTTGGAAAAAATCAGGTTAAATCGAAAGCGCACCAGCGAGCTGGTAAAACAAAACATAATGCCTGAACATTCTAATCCTTGATAATAATCGAGAGGGGCAAAAAGATATTGTAGAAGAAGCGGCGCCAAACGAGGATCATGTGGCCAACGCCAGAGGTATTTTATCGAAGAAGATGAATGAGAAGCAGTCGGATCGTTGTGCTTATGAGAATACCGGTTATCAGGATATCATTGAGGTATCAAGGAAATTTATATCTTAACACCCATGCTTATCAACACGCTTATGATTTCACTAGGTGTTTTAATGATAAGGAATGTCTCTCGGTGGATAAGCTTTGGACTTTGGCAACCCAGATTTTTAAAGCTATGTTTTTAAAAAAGTTTGAGATTCAGTTTCAAATATCCATCATCTAGCTAAATACTCGTTCTAGGAATTTTTCCAGGAATTCGGGTTTTCGAAAAATTATTTTTCACGGTTTTTCGAGAAAACTCTGGAAATTGGTTTTCATTATTTTTGCTTGTTTTTCTTAATGTTGTTTGTTCAGTCGGTTTCTTTAAGATCGGCAAAAATGTGATTAAGAATTGGTAGAAATGTAGGACAAAATTGATAGCATTTGTGAAAATAGGCAAAACGTTTTTTTTTCTAAAAATAGGATAGACAGTTTTTGAATGATTTTTTGAGCAATCCTTCTAAGGATTCAGCAACACTTTTGTCGGGAAAAACTTCCAAAAGTTTTTTATTTATTTTTCTAATTGTAGAAATTTTCAGATGGAGCGTGTTCCTCAACCACCTCGCCTTATCCTTCCTCCAGCGGCTTCTGGACGTCTCCGTTCACAGAGTATCGATGTTTCTGCTATTGTCTAATTTTTTTGTCCATTTTGAAATGATGGGTTTATTGAATACCTGCTGTGATGTATGTGATAAAATTTCCAGTGAAAGACATGAAATTATGAAAGACAAAGAGTATGGAAGGAACAGTTCGAGATCTCCAATTGTGGTACAAAAAAGAGAGAATGAGGAAATAAAAATAAAAATAAGTTATGTTAGTTTAGAGGCATTCAACGAGTTATTTATTTTCTTCCTCCAAAAAATTGAGAAAGGATTGATGATGGTTCTTGGCGAGCAGGTTTGGCGTTGGTGCGAAGGAGAGCATTCATGATTCCTTAAATGACAAACATTGAAAACTTAAAACATTAAATAAAAATTACCATCAAAATCTTCCGCAGTTCCACTGTAAGGTTTATCCGGTGCAAAGAGGGCGCGGAGTGGTGGAGCAGCAGTGGTGGTTGTGGTTGGTTTGGCGAGTCCGAACATTTCAAGGAAATTTATTCTTCCTTTGCTGGATGATTGCTCCGGTTGAGGGCGTTCCGGTTGAGGGACTGGAATGAATTAAAAAACGGATAATTAGTTGAACGATTCAAGGGATACCAAAAAGATTCATGATTCTCTGAACTGGAGTAGCCTCGGTAGTAGTTGTGGTAGTAGTTGGTGGTGGTGTTGGCATCAATCCTGAAATCAGGTTTTAGAGTCTTTATTCTGATTGGATATTGTACATTTTTTTGATTGAGCGCTACCTCAAAACTCGAAATTTGATTTTTATTACTTCATTTCCTCTAATAGAAGCCGACCCAACTTGTCAAATTTGGCTCCCGACCTTTCGCAGCCGGACATTTCGCAGCCAGACATTTCGCAGCCGGACATTTCGCAGCCGGACATTTCGCAGTTTCTGATAACGTCAGAAAATCAGAATTCCAAGTTTTTCGGTTTTGAAAAAAAGTATATTTTTTTTTGTCAGCAATTGAATTTTCGAATAATTCGGCTGAAAAAAATCAAATTTCAGCGGAAAAAAGTATTCAATCAATTGAAAACTGCTAAATCTTCATTGTTTTGATATTTTTTAGAATTTCTTTTTTTTCTTCTAGAATTCCAATTTTCTCAAATCTTATATTTTAAAAAGAAATTCTAAATAACAATGAAGATTTAGAATTTTTCAATTGATTGAATACTTGCTTGCTATTTTTTCAGCTGAAATTTGATTTTTTTTTCAGCCGAATTCTTCGAAAATTAAATTTCTGATATTAAAATATACTTTTTTTACAAAACCGAAAAACTTGGAATTCTGATTTTCTGACGTTATCAGAGGCTGCGAAATGTCTAGCTGCGAAATGTTGCGGCTGCAAAATGTCCGGCTACGAAATTTCGCGGCTGCGAAATTTTCGGTTGCGAAATGTCCGGGAGCCTCAAATTTGAGCTCAATTATCTTAGTTCTTGGACCATATGCCAAAAAATTGTCAGCTGATAAATTATTCATCATAGTATCAGCAATGTTTTATCAGTTGACAATTGTTTAATATCTTTCACACGAATCGAGATAAATTGGCTCAAATGTGGTTGTTGATGAGGTCAATCTACGGGATGTGTAAGATATCTTTGTTTCTATAAGAGTGTAAAAAAACAAGTCAATTTTTCAAATTTTTGTCATGACATTGAGAACATACTGTCAATTTATGATCATATACTTCAGAATTCAGAAATTGTTTGTTTTCTAAAAAATCTGCACCAATTTTTTAAACGTTTTTCTAACTTCTGGAGGTTCCCAATTTTAAGAATTTCTGTTTTTCGTTTCTTTCAGCTTCATGTATTCACTTTTTACTTTGGATTCGATACGTATTACGCAGTATTTTTTCATGTTTCATCCTAATCCCTCACCAAAAAGACTCAAAAGGTTGTTTCCACCAGAAGACGATGATTGCTGTGGCGGCGGATCTGCAACACCGAAAAGTTTAGTAATTCCGCCTTATTGACGTTAATAGTTTCACTGGAATCAACTGCTTGTCCTCCTCCTACTCCTCCTCCGAACATTTGTCCGAACAGGTTTTGACGTGGTCGTGGCCGTGGAGTTGGTGGTGGTGGTAAGTTTTCATATTCGTCAGCAGGCGCACCTCCACCAGCTGATCCACTGCTGCCGCCAGTTCCTAAATGATAGCCTGATAATCGAAAGAACAAGGAACAACACCATTAAGAAGAAAAACAGGGTTCGGAAACGATACCTAGAAAAGTGTCAAGAATGGACTTGAATCCAGACGGCGCTTGTGTTGTTGTGGTTGTTGGCTGCGCAAACTTTGCATTGGCAAGCATTCCTGGAAATTAACTGTTCTTTTTAACGACTGTCCATTCGGATGCCAGTGCCGACCACAAACCTCCGTATTGTTGGAACATTTGCGCCATAGTATTCATCCCACTTTGTGACGATGATCCTCCACTCAGAATACTATTATTTCGGTGAACGATCGAACCCCTGAACATGAGATTTTTGAATGTATATCAGTGAGGTCTAAAAATGGGAGAAAGCGTAGAATCCGTGATAAATCGCTAGCGAAAAAGTGGATATGAAAGAGGGACAGGTCTACCGAACTGCTTATTGATAGGAGGCAAGAAAGGAAAGGATAAGCGGGGCCTAAGTTTCAAAGTGAAAGTTAAGAAATGAGGAAAATACCTTGAAAACGAGGACGTATCTCTTGATCGCTTCCGCCATTTCCATTCATGATGTTACCGCTGAGCTCCATGATTTTTGAAGCGATTCCATAAACTGAAACATTTGAAGAGTTTCGGATTTATAGAAATTCTACCCTTTATTTTTTTCAATTAGGACAATATTTTAACATTACTGATTTTTCACATTGAGATGACTAGATATCAAAATATCATTTTCTTAAAAAAATATTAATCACTTACGTCTCCTAAAGTTTTCCGCGTTCTCAACTGCTTCTTCTCCATTTTGCGCTAGAGTTAATACTGGTAGAAGTGCTAAAAGATATATCCTCATTCTTGATTGGATCTCTGAAGAGAATGAATTAGTGATGATATGATAAGCGATCATTTTAGGAGAAAATAGTAAGCAATGGCGGCTAATCACAGAAAACGATAAAAAGACAGGAACGAAAACATAACAATGGATAGGAGTGATAACACATTCGTAGAGGTCCAAAACTAGAGCTTTTAGACCTGTGAAAAAAAGTAAGAATGAATAAATTTATAGGAAAAAAGTAGAATTTAAAAAAAAGACAAAAGAATGATGAGAAGAAAATTCAGACAGAAAATGAAATCGAGGATTACATAAGGCTTGATAATGAGAAACGAATATATCTGGCTGTGTGAGAAAAGAGGAGGAGGGATCGTTTCTTTTCTGTCCCCTCGGTCTCTATCAAAACCCTGTTTGTTGGTGGTGGTTTGAGGCAAAAAAAGACACAGAAAAGACAGTGAGGACCGGCAATCGTGCGCCCCCGGGGGGAGTGGATGAGATAACACATGAAGTATTGCGTCACAGATACAAGTGACTTTTTCACGCAATTCCTTTTTTTGCCAACTCGATTTTTGTACATCCGCAAGAGAGGCTTGCCAAAAGCGGCCTGTCAGGATGAAAATGATAGGAAGAAAGTGCGACATATCATAGAAAAAAAGGCAAATCCCCTTTAGGAGATGTAGAAAATAGATGATCAGTGATGGAAATATGTGATAATGGTGTTCTCAGATGTTTAGGAGTTTGTCTTGTTTTGCCATGAAAAAAGCCTTGCAATACGGTTTTTTCAATAACTATGAGTTGAGAAACATAAAAAGGTGAAGGTTTGGTACTTTTCACAGAAACCACTCAGTTTAAAACACACTAAAAAAACTTTTTACAAAATAATCAGAAGGTCTATGCTGGATATTTCGGAAAACTGGATAAAATATAAAGTTATCGCCTAATTCCAAATTTCCGAAAATTCGCTTTAATATTAAGAGGAACAATTAGAAATCTGTTTCCTGAAAAAATGAAAAATTGCTCATTTTCAAAATTAGAATTTTTTCGATACTTAAAAATATTGAGAATCTTTCAGTTAGTTGTCAGCTTTCTCTAAACATAATACCAAAAACATTTGACTATCACAAGTTGGTATCCTTTAATATGTCACTAACTTAATTAATGCATTACGTTCTGAACGATTTTCGGAACGGGAGGTCTCTTCAAAAGGGAACGAAAGAAGGAATAGGAGCGTATCGTCATTAAACACCCACGCTTTTCTGCAAATGTAACTACTTTCGCTAGTTTTGAAAGTTTCTACAATACTTTTTCTCTTCCTTTCTCCCCACTTCTTCTCTCGATGATCCGTTTGAAATCTTCTTCTTCTTTCGGACTAAAACCGTCGGTCAGATAATCCGATTGTTGCTAAGTGAGAGGTGCACTTTTCTATTTCTCTTTCTTTTTTTTTGTTGTCCGAAACAATCCGCCACTTTTCACTCACAATTCAATTTCGCTTGCTGCTAATTGAGTTTGCCACCTTTAACAACAGGTTATAGTTTTTTTTTTGCTTTTTATAGAAAAACTAGTTTGTATGTATAATTCAACTTCAAGAAAAAAAAAACGGCTGATTAAACTTTAGGTTTTTAGGCAAACGTCATTAAATGTATGTTTATGTTGTTCTAGCATTTCCGGTTGGATAATTTCGTCTTTTTTTTCATTTTCTGTTAAGCTTACTAGCAATGATTCATCATCGTTAGCTTTATTTCTCAGACATAATAAAATCACATTCTTCATTTCTCAAGGTTATCAGACATGTTCATCCCCATCTAATTTGTAGTCACAATGTACAAAAGCACGCTCCACATACGGCAACTTCTCCAGCTTCACTTGTAAACTCTCCGCAACATCGTGCGCCAGAGGAAGGGACACTGGTTCTTCGAACACCGCGTGCACTTCCACCAAGAATTTCTCTCCGAAGTGGTAGACATGGACAGTGTCCAATGCTTTGATGTGATGGTCGTGGTTAATGGAGATCTGTAAACAAAACGGAATGAATGATGCAATGACAACAATTGCATCTATTTATGATGTGTTTTTATTAGTTTTGCCTATTCTAAACATCGTATTCCTTCAGTTTTCTTACATTCGTGATGCGATTGATGAATTCCTGGTCAGCTCGTCTTCCGATCAAGTATGGAATGTGTTCGCGGATGGTCAAGAACCAAGTGATAATTATGAAGCCGGAAACCAAGAACGCGCCTAGAGGATCTGCATACTTCCACCAGTTCTCACCAACCCAAGCACCAAGAAGAGCAACAATATTTGTGATACAGTCGTTGCGCTGGAATCGGAAACTGTTAAAGTTATTTCAGTTGCAGATGCTTTTCTTATCTTTTCCGTGACAGCAAAATCACGATAACTTCTGCTTACCTGATCTATGGCGAGCACTAGGCATGCAGCTGACTTGCGAACTCTGCATACTAGGAAAAGAACAAGTTTGATGCCTGTTCCTGTGCACAATACAATTAAAGTGGTCAGATCCACTGTAGGCTCCAAATCGTTTTTAATTGTCTGAACTAGAGCTCTTTCCAAAACAATGAAGTTTGCAAACAACATGATCATTCCAACAATCACAACTGTTAGCGGCTCCAATCTAGAAATACATAATTTTTAAGGTCACGTAATGAAATCATATATGTATCACCTACTTTTTCATTCCAACTGGATAATGTTCTCTGTTCATTCTTTCGATTTTATAGCAGGCATACCAGACGACAACTCCAGAAGTGATATCCATGAAACTGTCTACTACAGATGCCAAAATGGCCAATGATCCGGACAAATACGCGACCACACTTTTCGCAATAATTAAAGCGACATTCAGAACTATGGTCATTGTAGTAATTCGAGTATCCCATACAGCGGTTTTTTGTTCTTGCTCTGCGGCTTCTTTGCATTCTTCTTCGGTCATGGTGGTGGCATCTTCTTTGTGGGCTTCCAGCAAGGCATTCTGGTCCCGATAGAATTTTGAAATCCGTCTGCGTTTCTGCCAGTCTGTAACAAAGAATTAATTTAGAAAAATCAAACCATAAAAATTTTTTTTTTGAAAATTCTCACTTTTAAGAGTAGAGCTGATATCAAACAACATGATGGTAGTAATCGAGTTATGTTGGTGTACGATTCACCTTTATTTATATAGTTTCAAAAGATGGCGTTATCAGTTTTAACAAAGTTGAATAGAGAAACTGAACTCCGTGGGCACTTCGGAATAGAAAAAAACTTCCGCAGGAAGTCACTTAGTGTCTGGTTAAAATAATGATGCTAGAGATATATCACGTTTGTGTTAAAGCAATGCTAACACTTTTGTGGCGTAGGCTTTTTATAAGTCGAGCACGTGAAGAACAAATGAGCAGAGTGTCAACTGATAACCGAATAAGTCAAAGTGTATTTGAATCTCCGAATCATAAACCCACAATTTTTATTACTCTATACCTCTGAAAAATGTATTACGAAATAGTCATCGCTATTTCTCTGTGTTTCCTTGATAAGAAGCCTACAGTCTTGGAGAAGTGGACTCCAGGAAAATTAAATCTAGAAACTAGAAACTAACAAAATTTAACAAGAAAAAAAGTGTAAACACGCATTGGAACGACGTAACTACTCTAGAAATCACAAACAGGACACAATTGTGATTTTTAGTCTAGGAAATGTACCCAAGTTGGCGAACAACAACACATGTAAACATTTCTGCAGACCGGGTAAAACATTTGACACGTGATTTTCTATTCCTAATTGTTATAAAATCTACTGAGGAATAGTCGAATTCTAGACATGTATCGGACATGTTGACATATGTCGACATGTGTCGGTTTACGCCCCTTCGGGGCTAAACCTTCTGGCCTCCGGTCGCCCTCCACCAAAACGTTGATTTTGAAAAAAGTGTTTCAAATACAAATTTTCGTGTTTTTTGAATTTCTGGAATCCCGAATTATCGAATTATCAGGTTTGAATTTGCTAATTTCCGAATTTCCAAAATTCTAATTGCCCGAAATTTGTGAATTCAGAAAATTCGGGAGTTGAAAAATTGAAAAAGTCCAAACTCGAAAATTTTTATCCAAAATCTCAGCAATTCGAGAACTCTGAAATTCTTGAAGTTAAATGTAGATAATAAGAATTTTGAAGTTCCCAATATTAATTTGAGTAACCTCCGAATCTAGATTTTCTGAATTTCCGATATTTTATCATATTTTGAGGTCTTTGGTCATTTTTGTTGTGGTTTCAGAGATTCCAGCTTTGTATCCAGCTAACTTGGCTCTTCATTTTAAAAAACCATCAATAATCCTTCAAAATAGAACTAAATTTTCCTTCCTATTTCATATCGCATCGGGAAATTTCGAAAACTCCTTCCCGCAATACCACTCAAACCGATAAGAGAAAATATTACACATATTCTCTTTCACTTCTGAAATTTTTTAAAAAATCAAAAAAAAATTGCCGCCTGCCGGACTCGAATTCGCGTAGCGAGGACAAAAACGTAGTGCATTAGCCACTACACCACGGGTCAACACAGCAAAGGTGAAAAACATGGCGTAAACGTGTGTGTTGGTTTTCCTCACCAACTCCCCCTCTCCCTCCTCTCTCGCACCCTCTGCCCACCACGCTTTACTGTGGTGAAACAAAGGAACGTCTCCAGAAGATTTCAAAATCGAAATTTCGAAAATAGAAAGGGTCGGGCCAGAACTAATAAAAATTTCCGGTTCGCCTGTCCAGGTTTCAGCTCAATCGGTTAACTTTGAATGGGTGAATCGTCACGCGACATACATCCTTACATACGGAATTTGGTGAATGTTATTAGTAATGATATGCGAATTCTAAATGTGTTCATTGAATTTTCGTCATTTTTTGAAATATTTCTTCGAATTCAAAATCAAATATCAAACTTTGTAGTGTAAGTTTTACTTCAACACTCACTAAAACCGTATTTGGATTTGATTAACAGGACCACTGTTCATTTAACCACTAACTCCTGATTTCTTAACAGTAACATTTCTAATCTCAAAGTCTCGATTTCCGCTTGAGTCAATACAAAACACACACCACACAAAAACCATGTAGCGCGGGAAGCGGTGATTTAAGAAGCGGAAAAGCTGTCGTTCCGCATAGCGGAATTATTCACCGGCTGTTTGTGTTTGGGACAACTGTACTCTTTCTTCTACCCACTGAATTCCTGTTTCCTTTTCTTCCCTCATTTGAATTTTCTATCATTTCATGGATTCTTCCCTAGAAGATGTGGAAGGAAACATTGAGAAATGTGAGAGCCGGAATGATCCATCATCGGAATACCGATTTTGCTGCAAAAGCCTCGAAATTAAGGTAATTGATTTTCCCATTGTTTTCAAACATGTAGACAATAATTAATTGGGTCCAATTTCCAAAACAATTTTCCTCCCACTAACAATTCCCGTAATAGTCCCAACGGATGTACGGTCGTATATAATCTCATTTAATTAAAGAAAGGAGCATATGCGGTTGCGGTGGTGTGCACCTGCATCATCATTTCCAATTTATGTATGAGAGCAATTAAGTCGGAGGAAGTGAGTGGGAGACAGAAATTAATGTGATAACTCATCTAAAACTTTCAGGTTGAGTGGAATTGGCAATTGTTGTTTTTGGTCAGCGATTCTATTGCAGTCATCAGTCTGTTCTATGGGATTGTGAGACAAAATGCAGCGTTTTTGCAGCCTTTTACAGTTTTGAGTGTAAGTTTTTTTTGTAGGGGATCGTTAGTACTGAACTTTTGCAAAAATTATCAAAATTGACGTTAGAAGTCTCAAAATTCCAATTTAGTTCTGAGATACTAGCAAATTTTGCTTGATCCAAAAAATAATACCGGAATAAAGTCCTTAAAAAACTTAGTTCAAAATGTTTCCATTCGTCTGAAAATTTCAGGAAATAATTTTTTAAATGAGAGTTGTAGTTTTGTAATTGGCAACGTTTTTGAACAAATTCAATCAAGCAAAATTGGCGGCTTTAAAACAGCACAACTTAAAAACCTGTAATAGAAGGGCCCCACACAGTGAACTTTGAGCTCAATTATCTCGGTTTCTTTGAAAGATAACATTTGTAAATTGATAAAGTGTCTATAATAATATCACCAATATTTCTACAGTTGACAGTTTTTGAATATCTTTTAAAGGAATCGAAAAAATTCAGCTCAAAGTTGGCAGCTTGGGTGGGTTTCTACTGAAGGAAACAGTAGGTTTGAAAACTTGATATAATTCTTTTGTATATCCTATACGTGCCCTTTTTAAAAAATTTTCTATTTTCTTTAATAGCCAAATCATGTCCGAAAGATCAAAAAAGGTCTTGTTATGCTATCACGATTGTACGCTGGGAAAACAAAAGCAACCCACCTCTTTTTTCCACTATGTAAACAAAAAGTTCAGTGATTTTTTTTCATAGTTCACCCAAATGGAAATCTATACAATTTCCCTCGAGTTTTTCCCCGTTTTCATGAATAGAATACCATTCAATTTAAGAGCTAAAACAAAATTATCGTATTTCCCTTTTTCTAATTCCCCGCTACCTTTACAGATTGTTACCGTATCCTTTTGCCTCCTTCTCTCATTTTTCTACCTGTCTGCTGTAATTGACCCAAGTTCCTATGCCGCCGAGCAAGTTGAAATCGGTCTTGCGGATAAGGTTCAACATTTCGCTGATGTCCTAAACACAACACCACAAACAGGTATGCAAAGAAAGTTTTTTTTTCTGTATGCTGGTCTATTTCTTCAACTCTAATACCTTCTCGTGACTCATATGCATTTTAGCGATAATAACTGTCGCCGCAATTGGGTCACTCGGCTACGCATGTCTCGTTTTTCTGCACAGCTGGTTTGTGTTCATTGTGGTCCGAACGGCACAGTACTTCCGTGCACTCACAAGTTTATAAGAAGAGTGGAAACATAGCTATGTGTGTGTACATTGAGAAAAATATATTGAACGATAAAATAAAACATCTTATGACTTTCCTTCCTTCCTGTTTTTATTTTGTTTCTATTGCCAATTTTTCAGTTTCTACCATCATTTTGGTTTTTGTTCTTTTCATTCAACTCTTTTGAAATTGCATCCCCCTCTCAAAAATAGTACCATGACGCATTTCATGTGATTTCGAAAAATTCCAACCTGGCAATAATAAACCAAACAACTAAGTCTATTTCACAATATAACCAACTACTTTTACTACTAATTTCAGCCAAAATGACGCAAATGATGTTTGGCATGAGCAACTTTTCTGCTTTGCGCCTCGCTAACTTTTTGATTTCACACCAAGAAAAGAACGTACTCTCTGACGTTGATTGAGCCGAAAACTTATGTCACTTTCGTTTTTAGTGCGTCTTGATTATCACTTTCATATTTTGTCATTTACCGGTTTTGTCTATAAATAGGGACACAAGAAGAGCATTTTTCACATTTAATTTTTGGCTAGGAGAGAGCAGCTGGTATTATGCATAATAATAAAATTAACATACATATGGTCTAACACATTTTCTCTCACCCTCTTCTCGTTATTTTCAAATTTCCGATTTCTAATTAACCCCGTCCTCCCGGGGAATTGATGAATCCAAAACCATTATCTGCTCCCCTTATAATCTCTTTCTGCCTTTCCTTCTTCTTCCAATTCTTTCAATCCAGCTTCTAATTAAGCGTTTTTGTGTTCTCCGAAAAACAATCTCCCACCCCTTTTCTATGCTCAAAGGTTAGAGCCATAATCAGCTCTCAGTCTACCTTTCCACCAGTTTACTCTCCTCCACCTCTATCCGCACCTGCCACCGCTTCTTCTCTTCTCTTCTCATTCCGTGCCATTCGTCTTCCTCCGTCCACTTCTTCCATTCCTTCTCTTCTGTTGACCCCTCTCTTCGGCTCGCGTAGGCGTGGCCGTACAGTTTTTGACCATTATAAATCACGCGATTGTGACCCCGTACCGTCCTCCCAATATGATGCAGCCCTCAGAAACAGTTGAGATGCAGGATATGGCCCAACCACCCGCAAGTGCCCCGCTCGCACCACAAGGAGGACAGCAACGAGATGTTGAAGCCCGTTTCCAAGTGGCACCTCAAGGTACGTGCTGAAAAAGCTAAGATTAGCAGTTGACAAGTTGTTGATAGTTTGTTGCTAGAGTGATTGTAAGTTAACATGACGTTTTTGGAGAAATTCTGACAATTTGACATTCGTAGAATATAGTTTGAACTGAAAATAAATACTTTAGGCGAGCACCACTTCCACTATAATTGCGGTGAGCTTGTTATTTGATTTTTTAACGCTTTCATAATCCAGTAGCTGAGAAAATAGACTAAAAATAGTGTTAGTTAGAAGTTCAAAATTATGCTTCGTTTCACAAAACGAGCTAATTACAGAGCCAAGAGAGCGTGGATGTGTCGAATTATTGTGTATTGGAATTTCTTGGTTTCTTCTCATCATCACTTTCCCTTTCTCACTTTGCGTGAGTATTAAAGTATGTTTCATGATAATATAGCACCTCATGACCTTTTTTCCGATCGTCCAAGAGTACCAACGTGCCGTTGTTTTCCGTCTTGGACGTCTCATTCCGGACGTTAAAGGACCCGGTATCTTCTTCATCATCCCTTGCATCGACCAGTTCCTCAACATTGATCTCCGCGTTGTCTCGTATAACGTTCCATCGCAAGAGGTCAGTTGCGCAATACTAGTCCCATATGCTCAATCCCCCCTCTTCAGATCCTCTCTCGAGATTCGGTAACCGTATCTGTTGACGCAGTTGTCTACTTCAAGGTTTTTGACCCAATTACATCGGTATGACAGGAAAAGAATTTGACTTCCAAATTGCAATGTTTTTAGGTCGTTGGAGTTGAGAACGCGACTGAATCCACTAAGCTTCTAGCTCAAACTACACTTCGTACAATTCTCGGATCCCACACCCTGTCTGAAATTCTATCCGACCGTGAGAAAATCTCGGCCGATATGAAAATCGGCCTTGACGAGGCTACTGAGCCATGGGGAATCAAGGTTGAGCGTGTCGAGCTTCGTGATGTCCGTCTTCCATCTCAAATGCAACGCGCGATGGCTGCCGAGGCTGAGGCCAGCCGTGACGCAGGAGCAAAGGTAAGCCGATATAATTGACCAATTTGCTTGCAGATATTACGTGTTTAATGGTCCACAACAATTAATTGCAGATTATCGCTGCCGAGGGAGAACTGAGAGCATCTGCCGCTCTTGCGGAAGCCGCTACGGTCATTTCAAAGTGCGAGGGAGCCATGCAGCTGCGCTATCTTCATACCCTAAACGCAATCAGGTAATTATGATGGGACCAATTAAGTGTCCTATTTAAGACCATGTCGACCGGCCTTTATTAACTCATTATTTTATTTTAAGCTTTATTAAGCAAGTAAAACATACTAATGTTCTATTCTGTTTCAGCTCCGAGAAGACCAGCACCATCATCTTCCCATTCCCAATGGAAATGTTCGCCGGAATCAAGACAGGAGGAGCCACGAGCGGTGCGAATTTCCCAGTTCAAGAGATGGTACAAGCCGCTCTTCAAAATATCCAACGCCAGGATACAATTCCAGCCACCGCCTCATCCGGAGGAAGCCGATTCTAATTCAACCGGACGGAAAAAGAGCATCAGTTTCGTCAAGAAGAACACCACAAACCAACTCGGAACTGCCTAACCATTTCGTCGTCCGGACTTCATTTAACCTAAATTATTGTTTTCATAATTCATTCCTTACCGCTTATCACTTGCCCTCTTCTTTTTCAATTGTAATATTTCATGCTTTTATTTTTGTGAATGCAAATTCACAGAAACATTGCCACGCGCCTAATATGTCATAAGCAAGCCTTCTCATTAGGAGGTGGTTGCACTTTTTCCCTTTTTCTTATATTACTCTACAGCTCCAGACCGTTCTACGCCAAACGTCATATGCAAATCTTCTCTTCTGAAGATGTTTGCTTTTTTTCTATTGTATTTTTTTCTTTTTTTTTTCTGATGATTCTAACTTTCCAATCCAGCCAATACAGCAAATCTTTCAGACTAACCTCTGAAAAATGATCGCACTATTTCTTCTTGTTTGAGATGCGGCTGTAATCCTCTTCTCTAAAATTTTTAAATTTTTTTTCTTCTCTCCGACCATGTCTCTATTGTTTTTTCAAGATCCTAACAAATTAAACATCAATGCATATTCGGACATATATCAATTAATTGCATATTTGTGTCTCTTTTCCGTGTTAAAATCATTCATTCCCTTACTATTTTTGTATATTTTTCTCTATATTTTTCATAAATAAAGCTTTTTGTTCCGAAAAAACTCACGCGTTAAATCGAGATGATCCGAAAGAAGGCAATTGTGTGCCTGTGTATGTTCCTTCACTCCGATTAAGACGATGCGCGCGCACCCCCACACAACTATACTAGTCGGTTTCCCTGCTAAACAGAGCGCGGGGTGTGAAAGCGGAGTGTCGTTGCGTAAACGTGTCGACATTTGTTTATTAATGTTTTCTACGGAATTTATCGCGTTTCCCACTATTTTCTTTTAAATATTACCTCAAATAATTTTTTCCAGCACGAGAATGCCTAGAAAACGTGTAGCATTTCAAAAAGCGGACGGGAACGACCGGAGTTTTACAATTGCGTCGCTGGAATTTTGTTTATCTCAGCTGCGCAAAGCAGATCCGAACTTGGTAAAGAAAGCAATTGCATCGGGAGATGGACTTACTGAATCTAAAGGTGAGTATTACATTTTTAACTGATAAATGTTTTGAAAAATCGATGAATTAAGACGATGTGAGCACACGACTGTCCGAGGCGCATCGTTATGCCGTCCAGCAATGTCTCGACAACTCGGAGTCACTAGCTCAGCTACATCATCAGCTCGTTCTTTGTGACAACGTCTTCGAGGTGAGAAGGAAACTGATAAAAAATATAGTAAAAAGGCCACGAGGCTGCGTACGCCACACAATTCCAAGAAAAACATTCTGAATTTCTTTTACAGCGCCTTCAAGCAACATTATACAGTTTTCAAGACAGTCTCGGTTCAATTGGACAGGATATGAAGAACTTGCAACTCCAATCTCATCACATTCATCAGGTAACGAACGAAAAATCGAAGAGAAAACAAAATTTGTATCATTCAGGAGCTTGAAAATCGCCAAAAAGTCCGTGTGGAGTTGAGTCAGTTTGTTGATGACATTGCAGTGTCGCAAAAAATGATGAAGGCAATCAACGATACAGATGCGAATGATCGAGGATTCTTGGAAGCGCTTCACGAGTTGCACCACAAGATCACACTGATTGTACAGAGAGGAAATGGAGATGCCGTCGCTATCAATGATACTATGCCGATTTTGGAGGGATTAAAGTTGAAGGTAGGTCAGAAGTGAATTGGATTGGCGGTGGTGTGAAAATGAGCAGAAGACTCGGCGATGTAGACGCAATGTTTTCAACTAACGAGCTTTTCATTTGTTTTTGAACAGAAGACTATTAGAAACAGATGGATTCCATTTTGTTCCGCTTTGATCGAAAATAGGTAAATTTAAACTTGCTAACAGAATCTAGTCCCTAAGGATAGGGATAGAGCTTTACTCTTTTCACAGGATTTTGAGGTGATTATGACGTCTCAGTAGCTTTGAAAAAGTTTTAAATTCTTTGAAAATAATGGTTGAGTTAGAATTCATTTTTGCTGTATATTTCGGAATCTCACTCAAGTTTTGACCTGTATTATGCTCGAAATCATACTGATCAAGTTCGGTAACAAAAAGACTCATTATTGGAAGCTTCCACACCCCGCCAACGATATCTAATAATTTTTGATGTACCACCACCGCAAAATTCTTATTTTCAAACTAGATATTTCTCTCACGCACGTCTCACGAATTCTGAATATTCTCACACTACTAAGCCTAATTGCTTATTCTCAAGAACTTCGCTGAAATCTTCTTCTCTCCCTCTTCAATTTTCATTTTTTTCAGGCTATCATCAAAGTGCGGGAATGGCTGCTCCAGAAAATGTTTCAATTCCGCAAGCCACTCTCCAACTATCAAGTATTTCAAAATCAGCTTCTGAAGTGTCACTTCTTTTACGAATTCCTTCTTCATCATGACTTGATATCCGCTAAAGAAGTGAGCCTCTATTTGATACTTATTAGCCTAATTCCTCTTATTTTTCAGATTCAAGACGAGTATATTGACACTGTGAGCAAGATGTTTTTCACATATTTCAAGGCCTACGCGGCTCGCCTCTTTAAGCTCTCGGTTAGTGAAAAATGAGCTCCCATTTCCTCTTGCTCACTCTCTGAGCCTCTCCGCATCTTCTCATCTCATTACTTCAGATGAAAGACGTCGCCACCAAAGACGACACACTCGGCAATATTGAATCGGCGAAGCCAGCTGGCCTTGGCTCGCTTTTCTCATCTAAACAACATGTTGTACGGAATAAAGCCACTGTGTTCTCCATCGGCCAACGTCACACGGTTCTGTCGGATGAGTTCTTCGGAGCACTAATTGTACCACACGCAGCTACACAGAATCATATATCGGTTATTTTGCTCTTTTAAATTATAATTGCTTATTGTTTTTTTTTCAGTATCAATTCGAATCACTCTTCCGATCTCTGCAGTTGGCATTTGTCGATCATTACAGCCACGAATTTCTGTTCATTACGGATTTTTTCCTTGTCAACAATAAAGAAGCTGTTGAGCTTCATAATAAGGTGATTAGAGTTTGTAAACTCTTCTTCACATTTTCAGTATTTAGGCTATTGCTCGAGCAATGTCAGTTGTGCTCAAAAGTTGTGAGGAGCAGATTGCGTTGAGTTTTGATGCTATAAGTCTCCATTTGTGCATTTGTCTGTGCGACAAGTTTGTCAACGTGCTTGCTGAGCGAGAAGTCCCAGAAGCCACCGAATACTGGAATACCGTCGCTAGTTTCCTCTGGACTCGTCTCAACTTTGTCATGGCCCAACACTACGACAGTGTCAAAGCGGTCGATGTGAAGAAACTGATGCATAGTGGATCTTTGGACACTAGACCTCACTATGTAAGTTGTTGATTGTGTTTCTTCCCATATTCAAAATGAGGAAAACCGATCAATAAGCTTACAGATTGTTCGACGATATGCCGAGTTGACTAGTGCCCATCTCACAATTGCACACACCAGTGGGAAGGAGATTGGTGACAAGATGGAAGCTGTTTTGGAGAGTAGCGAGGACTCGATTGAGCAGCTTCTGACAAGAATGTCGGCGATGCAGCAGACTCAGAAGAATAAGCATGTGTTTTTGATTAACAATTTTGACTTGATTCTGTCGACGATTGATGACGAGGAGAGCAAGAATAGTAAGATCTATGCGATTGTGCACGAGTTGGAACAGAAAAGTATCGACGATTTTGTGGAAGAAGTTTTGGATCCTCATGTTGGATATTTGATCAAGTTTGTAAATGAATGTGAATCTCTTCAAGCTCAAGGACACACTCAATTGCTTGTTCGCTACAATGGTAAGGCAATTTTCATGTAAAACTTCTAAGTTTCGCGGTTTTTCAGACAAAATCGGAACAGTGATCGCCAATTTTAACGCGAAATGGAAGCCAGCAGTGGACAGTATCAATTCCGAATGCATTCAACTCTTCACAAACTTCAGTCTCGGTGCAAACATTCTCCAGGTACCCGTTAAAGTCGATAACACGCCGCCAACTCTTCTTTTCAGACAATTTTCTCCAAACTGGTTCAATACATGAATCGTCTCACTAAACTTCTTGCTCACGATGTCTTTGCCAAGAATCCAGTTTGCGCTCAGATGGTCAATGTGCACCAAGTGATGCTTGAAATCAAACGCTGCAAGCCGGCATACTAAATTTCTATTGAAAACCGTGTAGATGTTGTAATTTATTGTATTTTTAGTCATTTTTGCTTTTCTTACCTCATAATGGTTGTGTCTGTATGTTTCTATATATTTCCCCTATCATCCCGCGTGGTCAGCTTTATTTTAGATTTGAAAATTTGTCATTTAAACGATTGAAAAATATATTTATATTTATATCACAGAGAACGTATAATCAACCTGAAGTGAAAAGTAGAAAAATTGAACAATATCACATAAATCAAACGGCTAGAAAATGATTAAGCAAATGCGATTCCTTCGTATTTGTATGGCCCGTGAAGTAGGAAGTCGTCGAGGATGACGTTTCCGTGGATATCGAAGACGCAAGCGTAGCTGGCAACTGGTTTTTCCTGAAAAATCGATAATATTACAGTCGCCGATTGGAAATAGTTACCTTTTCTTCAGATTTGATTGCTGCAATAAGTTGGTGATGGGTGTTTGGCACAAATTGGAAAGCAGAGAATCCTCTAGATTTGTGCTCATCGGATCCGATTCTAATCACTTGGAAGTCAGTGAGCTCCTCGTTTCCGACAATCAACACATTCGTTCCACGATTCTCGTCTTCTGCCTCCGAGTACTTCTCAGTTGACATTCTTCTTGGGAGGAAGAACCATTTTCTGTGAATTGGAGACCATTGGACAGCCTCATGGATCATGTATCCTGGATATTCGATTCCGGCGGCTCTACGGACACGGATGAAGACGTCCTTCCAATTCTCGTGGTGGACTGCTCCGTGAGCCGACACGTGCTTGACCCACATTGGATGATCGTTGACATATTCTCCGTCGGTAGTGGTCCATTCTTTTCCCAATCCTCCAACAATGAGCTCAGTATCCTTCACTGTCATCCATTCTCCTTTAATTCCCTTGATAACATTTCCAGGTCCATCGTTCAAGAGAACCCATGGCATAGCCTGAAAATGACAGAAGATTGAATGATAACATGTGATTGCCTCGATCATCACTCACCTTCTTGTCGCTAATTTGATAAATTAGACCCGTTCTGTCGTCGATGGAGTACAGTTTACCATTGAAGACGGCAAGGTCAGACAACTCCATAGCGCGGCCACCGGCAGCGATGTTACTGAAAAACGTTCACTTGGTTTTCCGGTCAGATGATAAACTTGGAAAAGAATTGTGATACTCACGTGTCTACGAAGTACTCAGAATCTTTGTCGAAGTGAATTTCGGCGTGCTTCTGGTCCGATGAAACCTGAAAAATGCCATTTTTTGAGGTATTTCAAGTCACAATTCCGATTAATTCGAGTTTTCGAGTGAATAAGATCTTGTAAGCCGACAATTTACTTTCAAGAATCCTCGCGAAACCAAACTTCTCCACTTCTTTCCATCTTTACTCTCATGGTCCAAGTCAGTAATCAACACAATCGAGTATTCCTTCGCTCCATCGTCAAACTTCTTCACTGAATACAAACTGGCGTGACTGATGTGCTGTAAATCAATTTTTCCACATTCTACTGGAAATTTCAAACGATTACCTCTACTTCTTCACCAGCTTTGTTGAATTGTGTACCCGAATAGAAGGCAATTGCGGTTACAAACCCCAAAAGCAAAAAATTGAACATATTGGAATTGTTTTCCGCCGTCATTCTGTAAAAAATAGACAGTTAGTGAGGTTTTCGATATTTTATAGCCAAAAATTAGTGAAAATAACGAGACACGAGTTGAAAAACGCTGCAATTAGAAGAAAAAAAATTATTTTCTCTTTTCCACGAGGAGTACACGGCCTAGCGGCCTAGGAATCCGCACACTCGAGGCCAGCGCGCCTGATGGAGGGAGGAGGTGGACATCGCATACAACGTGGAATAGTCGGTATGTATTCTAAACGAGGGATGAAAATAAGAGAATATAAACGTTTGGTTTTGAATTCTTATATACTTATAGGTCGGAAAATGGAAAAATATATGATGAAACACAAATGATGCAAGGAAAAGGAAAAAAGAGAAATTAGGAAAAAAGAAGAAAGAACGACTGAGCTGATGAGAGTAGCGACCGATGTTATCAACATCTTATCATTTTGTCCTATCATCAATCGGTTGTAGATTGTAACTAAACACAAAAAAAATTGCCATTGTGACCGATGGCTCAGAAAAGCCAACTACGGCCCAGAAGACTGATGAAAACCCAGTGATCTAATCTTCCTTTCAAACTCAATAAATCATCTTCTAAAAACCTCTGCAGGTATTTATACTTTCCGTCACTCCGCCATCGAAACATAAAAGTGACCTCAATTATGTGTTCTGTAGCCAACTGTAGTTTGTGTTGACTTTCTGTTGAAGTTTGTTGGACACAAAACGATTTTCTGCTGTTCTGACCGTTTTTATATCAAATTGCCTTTCAAGAAGTGTGGGAAAACAGTAGAAATAAAAGAATTTTTTGGGATGATAATAATGAAACGGGAAAAAAATTGAGACAAAGATAAAACGATAAAAAAGACAACTGAAAGAATATTCAATATACAGTTTGAAAGAGAAAAAAGAGAGAAAGAAATATATTTTTAAAGCTAGCCGATGTTGAAATAATATTTTACAAGATCTGGATACGATTAAATACTGGTGAGAATTTAAAATTTTTATTATAAAGCTCTCAGAATCTCGGCGACACATATCCACTGGTTCTTGGAAACAGGTAGTAGCTTCTGGAGTCAGTGTATCCGACACCTTCTCTTCCCATCATATACCGAGACGCACGTGGATTGAATTGCTTCTCTCCACGATGACTGTACATGTGATAGGCCAATCCTCGACTGTCCGAGTAGCTCTTGGAGCAGTATTCGCAGATGTATGGCTTGGAACGGACGTCGCTGTACACTCGGAGTGGATGCTTTGGTTCATAGCCTTCTGTGACAAACGCTGGTTGTGGGAGATCTTGTTCGGTCACTGGGATGATCTTCTTTTTGTTCACCAGGACAGTAGTTGTCTGAAAAGTTTGTAGTTGGAACAAATTATCTCCAGTCAGTTTGAATCAAGTAAAATGCTAGGTAGCTGATTTTTGAAAATACCTCCTTAACTTCAAACATTAGATTAGCTTGTGATAAGTACTCAATCTATCCGACTAAAAAATATTTTTCTGAGGCTGTTTCAAGTTTTGAGCCCAGGTTGAATTTTTGATTATTATGGATCATATACCGTAAAACGTAAAAGGACCCCCACATTGTCATAAAAGAGCTCCCGCATTGTCTAGTTTAAGGTCAATTATCTTGGCGTCTGCAAGAGATATATAAATATGACACATGAAAAAATAATTGTGACATCATGAGAAACAATTCATCTGTTGACAACTTTTTATAGCATGAACAGGCATAGAGATAAATTGGGTCAAAGTAAAACGTTAGGGACACTTTTATTACAGGTTTCATGGTATGCTAACACCTCCACAAATGTTCTTTGAAAAATCATTCCGACCTTTCATCCTATCAGTATTACGAAATACTAGATCTATTTCACCGTATGACGACATTCCGAACAACACAAAATATCATCAACTTTTTTCTATTAACCCCCACCGAAATTCTATAGTCTGAGCAGTTGTTATCTAGAGAGTAAGTGCATTTGCAAGTGATATCGCATTTCATGTACTCAATGTTTTTTTCTTCTAGAGCTATTTTCCCTTGTGAACTTTGAATAAAGCAAAATAAATGAAACACAAGAGACATTTCCAGTGGTCTATGAAAAAATCTCGGAAACAAAAAATTTCATTATTCGGGAAATGACAAGTGTTTGAAGGAATATATTTTTCGAAAATTAGCAGATCTACGGAAACCTGAATCATTTTTCAGAATATGAATTGTTTTGTATACTCACTTCTGGGGCACCTATTAATTCAATAGGATCATCTGTGTGCTTGTGATAGAGCATTTCTGTGTAGGAGAAGAATGTCCTTCCACAATCACATTTGAATCCGTCGATTTCTGAGTGTTGAGCAGCATGGTATTCTAGTTGGCATGCGAATTCATACGATTCTCCACACTTTCCACAAACATATGGCTGAAAACTTGATGTCACATTAGTTCTGAAGAAGAATAGTCACCTGGGAGACGTCATGTATTCTTTCGTGTGCGCGGAGAGTGTTCATGAAGTTGAACGTGAGTCCACAGAAGCGGCATTTGTAGAAGATGAAACCGTTGTCATCCTTCTGCACACTTGTTCCGTCCTGACGTACTTCCTGCAAAAATTACCACTGATCGTCTGAACTAGCTACTTATAACGCCTTCTCCTTATTTTGCCCGTCTTCATTTTTCATTCTCCGCTTTTTTTCCCTTTTCCTTTCCTTCCTTCCCATTTCCCATTTCTACGGGCATTCACTTTTCCATTTTTCTTTATTCTTTCGGCTTATGCCAAGCTAAGATGCTCACTTCACTAATTCAAAAGATCAAATGGATTGGCAAAAGTCAAGAACTCATCATCAACAACAACAACAACAACAACAGCAAGACTTTTATTCACGAACGAGAGTAAGTCAAAAATACCCATGAGAATGATTAGCTTGGGAAGGGCGAAGAAGAAAGAAGGAAAATTAGAACAACATAAAATAGGAATAAAAAGAAAAAAAAGAAGCGGTGGAAGCGGCAGAGTTGGAATCTAGTTAGTGTAAGACAATTAAAAAACGACAGACAACAGAAATTCATTGGAACTGAATGTGTGTTTTTTAGCATCCTGCAGAGCTCTCTCTTCCGACAAGCGAACAGGACATAGTTACTTCGACCACAGGCTAAATTCAGAATAAAATTATGGGTCGTAGATTAATAGTTTGGTTTTAGTAAAATAAAGGATCTACTGAAGTAAAAAATATGGATATTGTGGTTTCTCAGATTTAGTCGAAAAATCTCATTCATTATGAGCTAACTTCTTAGAATATGGTGTAAAAATCATAAAATAAATTACTGTAAAATCACTAACTAGAGTTATTAACTAACTATTTATTCCTATATAGGTTACGGAAAAATTTCCAAAACTATTTTCAAAAAATTCACGCACCGTAAGCACTCTTATAGAACGCTAACCAAATTGTTAACGTGGAGCTCATATATCTCATTTCTTGTGAAAGATATCAAAAACTGGTCAACTAACAAAATGATCATCATAATATCAGGAACATTCTATTAGTTGACCATTTCTTAATATCATTTAACGCGAAATAAGATAAATGAGCTTAAAGTTGACGGTTTGGGTGGCGTTTTATTACAAGTGCTTACTTGTAGCAATTCTCACTATGGAAACTGTATATTTCTAAGCATTTTCACACTCGGCAAGCCAAAAGAAACACAAAAGCTTATTTTCCACAAACCTTTTGGTCAATTCCATCCACCGCTCCTCCGCTTGGTTTTGTGACTGTTGTAGAGCTTGAACTGCCAACCTGTAATCAGTGATTTCTTTTTCTATTTATTTTACATCCGATATTTTTCATTTTTTTTGTGTGCTTCACCTTCAAGAGACTATTTCTTTGATCAAATGTTCAAATTCTTGGCTTTATGCTAAGTTTTTGTTCACAGTATCATATCCACAATTATCTTTTGTTGTATACTCACATAGGCCTCCACAGTTGGTGCCACGACTTTCATAATTTCGGTTGGCTTGTTTTCACTCGACGATTCTCCATGATTGACGCCGAAAGTTTCAAGACCGTGAACCATCTGCAAGGTATTTTTCAATCATTTCGCAATCGAACCACCCCCGCGAGTGAGGCTCTCCGGTTTTCCTGTTATCTCTCTCGCGCCGTTTATCTACAACTCACTTCATTGTTCTTGACGGACATCTTTGCCAGATCACAGGCATTCATCAACTCCTCAAAGTCATCTCTCTCCTTTCTGGCCTAAAATAAAGAACCTTATATAGCTTCAAACTTTTGGTTTTACCTCCTTGAAAAGATCGTCACCCATTGTTCGGTTTAACTATCAGCAGTTTGTCGTCGGAATGGGGGTGAAAGAGTTGTCAGGGGGTAGAATGCCTCGGGTGTGGCTAGCCGTGGTGCTCAACACGCAGTGTAAACTCGAGAGACTCGTCGCGATTGGAAAAATGCGAGAAATCAGCTCTGTCACCTCCTGATCCGAAAGGCTATTCTGCCGATAGTCCCGCTTTTTCTTTCTTCCTCTTCCCGGTGGGATGTTTTGCGGGACACTCGCTTGTCTGAACTCTCCGGCTATCTCATCCATTGAAAAAAGAAGCAAGACACAGATAGACCTTCGGATCGTGTTGGGAGCTCGTCAGCAAAAAAGCGTCTAGCAGTGCTGTGGCTCGACACAACTTCAAAGAGGAATCATGTTTCGAAAATGAATGGCACAGATGCTCGCTCTTGACATGTACACATTCTACGCTCTCGTTGAGTACGTTAACCATATGTGATTGATTTAGAAGAGTAAAGCTGGCAGGAAATGAAAAAAGGCGGCATCGGAAGCGACACCAAATGTAAGACGTGTTGAAGGGGGGTAGGAACATGAAACCAAAATTACATCCCGCCTAAAAATGGAAAATGACACGGGGAGCGAGTTCTCTGAGTTTGTAGAGATTAACTCCTTCACATTTAAATTTCCACAGTTTGTCTGGAAATCTGAACTTGTATTATTCTAGTCCCGAGGCGATGAACCTTGTGATCAATAACTTTTTTGGAAGTGCATCGTCGTCCCCCAAACTAAAACAGCAAAAGCTTTCAATAGATTCATGAGATAGAGTATATCGGAATCGTTTTATTTTTGCCTAGTTGCTTCAAATCTCAACGTTTTTCCTTTATTTTCTTCAGATTCTTAAGAATAATCAGCTGAATGTTTTAAAAAGTAACAAAATAGTCAAAAGGCGCACGAACCTATTTGTAAAAACCATAAATGTTTCCACTTCGAGACCAACGATGCGCTTTTGAATAAATTTCCGGCCTCAAGATTCATCGCCGCCGGACAAGAATAGTGCTAAACATATCAGTTATTCCAACGAACTTCCGACCGTGTTCTTAAACTCGAAGTGCTTCGTCGAAGCTCTCTTAAGCTCGAAGTGTGTTTTTAAACTCAAACTTAAACTTAAACTTAAACTCTTAAACTCAACTTAAACAGTGCCAAGGATTCAAAACCGTAAACATGATGAAACGTTTCCTGTGTGAAGATCACAAAGATTACTGTAACACATCTGACGATAACCCCCAAAATCCGATTCAAAACCAAAATTTTCAGTTGAATATTTATTCACCTCACCTTCCTCAGTAACTTCTTGCTAAGAAAAAATCGAAAAAAAACTTTAAGATGACAAATTGTGTTTTGTATTGTTGTTATTCCATTTTTTATAACAGCGATAACAATATTATTGTTCATCAATCTTTCTGTTATTACTCATTATCTTATCGTAAATCAGTACATTCTCTTGAAATGATTAATGACTGTAGAGATGATCTAAAAAGATACCTACTCCCTTGTCTACCCTAAAATTCCTTTTCGATTCAGTTTATGATTGGCAACGTGCCATTCTCGCTGTCCAACACAAAATCAGAGTATTTCCAGAGTCCAGAGTCTCAATTTTCATACCCACTCTTCTCATTTATCTTTCTCTTCTCTTCCCCAACTAATAAACAACAAATTTGCGGCGACCACACGAACGTTCTTATAGTTGATGACTCTTGCTCTTCCGCTCTTTTTCTGTTTTTCTCTTCCAAGCACTTAGTTGATCTTTTTGTATAGTGATTCTTTGAGTTGTATCCTATCAGTTGTTTTCGAACCTACTATCTTCTGTCATTCGAGAAAAATTGGAAGTGTGGCGAAAAAGATAAGAGAACAAAAGACAATTAATAGGTCACCAGAAACTTCGGAAACTAGAGACACGTTTCTCGGTTTTTCGGAATATAATAATTTTAAACTACATAAAGAATACGTGACTGTCCGCAGGTTCGACCCATCAAACTAATGATTCAATCTATCTCGACAACTGTGCACCTGGCATCTATGCTGGTTTTTAGTGGAAACTCACAAATGTTGAGGTCATATAGACCAAGACATTAGGTTCATCAGTTTCAATGGAGTTCAAATGAATTCAAGAATTTGAGAGATTTCTATTTTATATCAGTTCCGAATCCTTTTAAAATTTCAGAGATAAGAATCCCCAGAATTTCGAAATTTTTTTGTTCTATAAAACACTTTAAGATCTTTAAGTGTGAGAAAACGGCAACCCAAAACACCCAATAAGCAATACGACTCATCCCATAAGCAAGAGAGGGTTCATCACACTCTAAAAACGCCTTCTGTCTCTTCCCGCCTAATCTCGCATATAAATCTTCTTTCCTTCATCCATACAGAGCGACCTTCCCTTCTCTCTGCGATCTCCTTCATTTTTGTGCACACCACGTCATTTCTCTGCCACTCTTCTTGCCACACACAAACAAACACAACCAGTAACGTAACCTGGGGCTCATTTGCCCAGATGTCCGAATGCTGTGTTGCGTTCCACACCCGTCCCGATTGTACCCCTTCACCTCTCTTTGTTTTTTGTGTCTATCTCGCTTTCTCTTTTCCTCTCTCTCTCTCTTTTGCTATCGAGATGTTATTGTTTCTTTTCTCCGCCTGATGACGTGTCCCTTTGTCTTCCTTAGAAAACGCTCTGAAAAAGGAAGAGAGCGAGAGAGAGAGAGAGCTTCGATCATCTTCGTTTCTGGGTCCGTCACCAATTTTTCGTTTGCGTCCATCTATTTTTTGGCTGCCATTTGGCTCTTTCGAAATGTAGAGCCCGAATCGTTTTCTTTTTTTTCATGTTGACACTCTGACTCAATTATTTTGAAATTTATAAAAAATTATTTTCACAAAAATAGTTCTATGAAACCTTATAAATTCTTTGAACTTTTTATTCCAGAACACGAAAAATCAAAAACAACAATAGGAAAAGTTCTAAATCTCAAAAACCAACTCATTCTTTTCGGCAAATAATAAGCAATAGATGTTTACTCAAAGAAAAAAAAACTTTTTCGCATTGAAAACATCTTTTCTTCGTCTTTTTATCTATTTTTCCATACAAAGTTGGCAACAGTCCCTGTTTCTGAAGCTTTTTACATGTTTTTATGGTGAACAGATAACCGAATTTGTTCTTTTCCACTGAGAAAAGAAGCACAGCAAGCTGTTCTTTTTTTCCGTGTTGCAATTCGTTGCTTCGTCTTCTTGCCATTCCTTATTTTTCCTTCTTTTTTTACTTCCTCGACTTTCCTAGAGCTCAACTTTCCTTTTTCTTCTCTTTTTTTTCTATTTTTGCATTCTCACGTCTTCTCATCTTCCCCTTCAAACTCATCTCGTTTTTTTTGAGAATTCCAAATTACATGGCGGCAAAAATGTCAAAACACTGTAGACCACGTTGCTTAAAAGCACACTCTTTGTTCAGGCTGAGCCCTAACTTTCTCTTTTCAATTTCAACACATAAAGTTAGAAGTGCAAAGAAAAAATGCGGACGGAATGGTGCGATTTCTCTGAATCACACGATAACCGACGGGAGACTTTTGCCCTTGAAGCAGTGTTGCGACGTGCTTATCATTTTTCTCCACGCCTTTTGTGATAAGTAGAACACACGTACTTCGCTTTTTTCCCGTGTGTTTTAACAAGAAAAAACGTGTCTACTGCTGCTGCCCACTTACTTTCTAGACTACATAACTGTTTTGAATTCTAGGAATTCGATCCATCACTTTTTGCATTTTTATTGAATTCAAAATTAAATTCCTCGAGGTGCAAAAAGTCTCTATTTAACAGTTGATCGTTCAGACAGACCATGCCACAAAGAAAGCGGACAATGGAGAGCCCCGAACCAACAGAGGAAGTTGAAGTCAAAAAGCCAACTCCGGCTCCAGAGAAGGTGGAATTCGTGCAGAGATCGTTGGCATCAGATGAGCCAGCTCCATTCTCAGATGAGGAAGAGGCCATTCGAATCAGAGAGGCGGTTGATTACTCCAAGAAGATCACACTAGAAATTGCGAAAGCAGGCGAAGGTGAGCATTTGAGCATTTTGTCTGCGAGTTTTGTTTTTCGAAGTTTCGAGATTTCGTTTCATGATTTCGTTCTGTTTCTAGCTGGAAGACCTGTTCGAATCTATGCAGACGGTATATACGATCTATTCCATCATGGACATGCCAATCAGCTACGTCAAGTCAAGAAAATGTTTCCAAATGTGTACTTGATTGTCGGCGGTTTGTCTAAACACCGTCAATTATTCTTCAATAATTTTTTACTTTCAGTTTGTAGTGACTATGACACTCACAGATACAAAGGAAGAACTGTAACATCGGAAACCGAACGATACGATGGAGTGCGCCACTGTCGATACGTAGATGAAGTGTACAGAGCATCACCATGGTTCTGTACCGTGGAGTTCTTGAAAGAGATGAAAGTCGACTTCATCGCTCACGACGCTATTCCATACGTGGCTCCAGGAGAGGAGGATCTTTATGAGAAATTCCGCAATGAAGGAATGTTCCTTGAAACCGAGAGAACTCAAGGAGTTTCCACCAGTGACGTTGTTTGCAGAATCATCCGTGATTACGACAAATACGTCCGTCGTAACTTGCAGAGAGGATACTCTGCAAAGGATCTCAACGTTGGATTCTTGGCTGTAAGTTGGATATGGTAGAGGAAAGTTTTGATACTTAATTTTGTAGGCCAGCAAGTACCAGATCCAGAACAAGGTCGATTCTTTGAAGAGCAAGGGAATCGAGTTGTTGTCAACATGGAAAAGCAAGTCAGATGATCTCATTCGTGATTTCGTTGGTACCTTCCACAGAGATGGAGGACTTAATGTAAGTGGGCTTTACAATTATCTAGAGCTACAGTACGGGTCAATAAGAAATACAAAAACGTATTTTCCGGTCCATTTCTGACCATGTTGACCATTTCAGGAATCTGGTGCTCGACGGTCACAAGCCCCATCAATTCGAAAATTATGGACGTTGTAAAGCATACCTAGGTTAAAAACTTTGCTTTCACAAAATGTTTCCGAAATTTCTAGTACATATCGCCTTTTTGCTGATTTCTGAAAGACACTCCTCTTCGACCTGGTTTTGTAGGGAAACCGAGAAAAACAAGTGTCTTTCAGAAATCGGCGAATTGCATAAAAGCTAAGAATTTTCAAAAATATCAGTGAATGCGAAATTTTCAATCTAGATCTTTTTACACCTTCCAAAGTTTTCTAAGTGACCGGAGACTTGACAGCCGGGTTCCAAACTCATGAAAATGAGAGAATCTTATTGACTGGTACTTTTTATATTCATTTCTATAATGATTATCAAGAAAATAATTTTTATCAATTCCAGGCCTTTGGCGGAAGACTGAAGGAAATTCTTTCTCGGTCTCCATCTCGTGAAGGATCTCCAGACAGACTCGAAAAACAATCCGAAACTCAGGATGAGGAAGAAGAGGAAGATCTCGACGAGTACATTGATGCTGAGGAAGAAGAAGAGACAACTGTCGAAGACGTCAAGACTTCAGAAAAGCCAACCACCTCATTGAAGCACTAAATCAGAGACCTCATTTTACTAGACACGTATTCAACAAAAAATCAAATCTCCTGGTATAACTCAGTCACTTTCTTATTTCTCTTTGAAATTTTCTTCTTTTTTTTCTCTTTTTTGACGTATTCCATTCTCTAGAAATTCATCAGCATTTCTAAGAAAAACTAAGGCTTTAGTCTCTCATAACTGTACATACGATTCATGACAAAGGATTTTTCAAAGTTGTTGTCTCTTTTGCAGAGGAGCTCTATTGACAGAGTTCAACTCATTTGCAGCAATATTTTTTCTTCTTCACCAAAATGTTCATTGCCATTCTCCCCAAAACTTTTTTTCAGTAAATAATTCTTTGTAACGTTACAAGTGGTCCCTTCTTCCCCCTTATTGCATTTGTTCTATTAAAATTAAGCTTTCAACACAATACAGAAAACAAAGACAAACCGGTAGAGGGAACAGGAACGAGAAGAATGAATGTATCCGTATTTGAACTTTGCATAATGTTTGCATTCAACTGGTAGTAGTAGTCCAGTGTAATATTAGCCGTCTCCCGGTCGGACGGTCGTCATTCACGGGTGGTCGAGATGAAGCATCGTCTTCAACTGGTTCCACAACTTTTTAAATGTCACTTGGTATGTGTCGGAATTGTGGACAAACAAAATTGATATTGAAGAAGGAAAAGAACGAATAAGTAGGAAAAAGAGAAAAAGACTGAAAGATGGAAACAATAATGGAAGATGATGATGTTCCATGAAATTATTTGCTTTGTTAGAAAAGGGTTCAAAATACAAAGTACAAACTTGGAAATTTGAAAATTTCGTAAATGATCAAAAACCTCTCTTTTTCAGATTCTAGAAATTTTCTAGAAGTTGAGAACATCGCTTTTGAAAACCGCGGTCTTTGCTAATGAAACTGATATAACTGTACTGGAACTGGTTTTAAAATTTTTAGAAATGATAAGATAGATTATTCGTAATCTATCTTGAAGTTTACATCAAAATATAAGTTTATATGGTGTTCAGGTTAGGTTGCGAATTTTGATTTTATACAAGTTTTCAGAACGCCTATCACGTAAAATTATAGTCTCCAACCTGCACAAAATATAATGTTTCAGATGAAGTGAGTTCAACATTACACAATGAAACTCCTAAAAAAATTATTGCAACAACCTCTCAGTTTTCGTTAAACTGAAATTGATTTTTAACATACAAGATACAGATATTCTTTTTCTCGTAATTCTGACTTTTTTGTCTCATCAGAATCGAACTCAGCAAAGAAGTTATCAATTAAAAATTAAAAAATAATTTTTTTTATTTTCCTTTTTTCAGAGCAATTTGAATATTATGGAATACATTTTCTAAACTCCGAAGCGAACTACCAAAAATGCTTGAAAGCCCATACTATACGTAAACTGGGGACTCAATTATCTCCGTTCTTTCGAAAGATATCAAATATGTGATAAAAGATAAAATATTCATCATAATATTAGCAATATTTCACCAGTTTACAAATAATGGATATCTTTCATGGCAACCGAGATAATTGAGTTCAAAAAACATGGTAAGAATAAGCTTCTATTAAAATTTATTTTTTTTTATTCACAATATTCATTACTATTTTTTGTATGTGTTGTAGATTATTTCATAACAATTTTTGAATTTAAAATTCTAACCTACAGTGTTCCTTGTGTTGTACACTATGCCCTCTTTACATATTTCACTACTCTCATAGTGCAATTTTAAGAACAAGAAAATTACTCTCTGCAATTTTCTAATCCACGCACTGGTCGTTTTTAGAAAAACCCTTCCATTCTTGGCCATAGTCCAGATAGATCAGCAAGACAACGACAAGGAAAATACCACAGCACAGAACTTGTACATAAAACCTTTCCTGACAACTTAAGTGTTTTGCACTTCACGCGATTGATATAGTGGGTCTGAATGAACTTTTGAAATTTTTATTTGGTTTTTTAGCGTTTAAGGCACCGTAGAACATCGCCGTAAAAAAGGAAGTGCGACAAAGTTTTGTACAAGGTCCGCCAGTAGATAAAATACGCATTGTCCCGGAGAGCGTAGGTGGTGAGTGGTAGATAGGTGACTAATATCCAAAGTGGATATAAATTAAACTGAAGAATGTTTTCCTGTTCTTCCTGACGGTCGAGTTGAAGGATATTTGAAATTCCTCTTCAGCCACCACCCACGTTCTTAATGAGTAATGTGCTAGGATCCTCAAACAGCATATCGTTGTGTTCTTCAGAAGAATCTCATCTAACGGTAGGAGAAACGCCAACGCACTAATCGGAATGCGAGCTGATTTGAATACGCGTATCGCGTGGTGTGTCTCGCTATCCTTCATCTCATTCAGGGCGTTAAGTTTAACGGCATCAAGTGTCGAAACGAAACATGGAATCATGGGTTGAATAGTACAAAGTATTGGAATCTGACTTTTTTTGGAAATTTATAGCTAAGCACAAAACTACACTATTGTTGGAACGGGTGGAGAAAATGATGTTTGACACAAAAAGTGTCAAGAGATTCGGTTTAGCAACGCTTCGAAGCACTCGAATCAGAATTAGGACCCACGAACAGTTCTGAACTTAAAAATTGGTTTGTTCTTTTTTCATTGCAAAGATCACTTGATCGCTGAACGGGTTCAGAATAAATACAAACATCACAAGTTCCAAATTTGAAGAAAAACAACAAATATAATGATTTCGATGATCTTTTTTTCGCTGAAAACCCTAATTTTATAAAAAACCAAATGATCAAATGTTTAGTTTGCTCCCTCTTGTTACTAAAAGTGTACAACAAATTCTCAGATTTCCTTGACCATCTTTAATCCGTCCAGGTGTTACATGGACAGACATTTCGAAATGAAAAAATAAATGGAAGAAAACTAGGAATTAAGCAAGGAATAATTGTTACTGTTAACCCCTTTTTCTAGACGGTCTGGTTCAATCCGCACACCGGCAATAAGCGGATTCCGGCTGTTTCCGATGCAATTTTTGGTGATGCCTCTTTTGTTGCATCCTTTGCCTTACAGTATATACAATGGACAGTTGTAGGTATGAAGGGTACCTTGTCCGAATAGGAATACAACAAACACAACAAAAAACTTGTCATTCCGGTAACTGACACGTGTCTATTATGAATTTGTAATGATGCGGCGCATTCGTTCGTTTCGATTCTGGAGGAAAACTGAATGATGCGACCACGACCCCCCTGTCCACTTCCGATGTGTACTTTTTTGAAGCAGTTTTGATGACGAATGGCCAAAACCGGAGGGCCAAAACAATCCACTCTTTTCTTGTTTCTCGTATTTGCACGGGTTCTCAGAAATAGACAACGGAATGAAAGGAACATGTGATGATGCTACCGGGCAGGCGGAAAAATCTCGCTTTCCATGGTTACGTAGGCGTTCAGAGGGCGCATCGGCTAAGAATAGTAACCAAAAATATCGAGATACGAAAGCGGCGTCTGTCTGCCAGCCATGTATTACAAAACATTTCCTGTCCGGTTGTTGTGTTGTTTTCAAAAGAAATAAAGAATTACCAAATTAAAAACGGCGTCTGATAAGTTGAGTTGACAGAAATGCTCCCCGACAAGGTGATCAATCAAATGGTTTTGAACTTGACAATCGGCCCGAGAGTGATAAAAAGTGGTTAAGTGATCTACGCTGGAGGATGTTACCCCCCGTTTTCCATCATGTCAAATCACCTAATTAAGACAAATTGAAGTACATACTCGAGACATTTCATCCTTCACTTCGTGTTTAAGTTTGGAAGCAAACGAAAAGAAACTCCTGATTAGCATAATTGTGAACTGATGGTCTTTCTGGTCAAACTTTCTGATTTCGATTTGGCTATAAGTGGCTTAATTCGAACCTGCATCGCAAATTGGGACTTTGTTCTCAGATCAAAGATTTTCGGTTCACCCTCGCTTCTAAAACACAGAGTAAAAATTATTTTATATCAATTGATGTTTGGAATGATCAACAATCGTAACTATTAGTTGGCACCGCGGTATCAATCATCACAATGGCGGCTAGTATCATCTTCGAAAGGCGCACCCAAAAAATGTAAGTTTTGGGTCAGGTACCCCTACCACTCAGATGACCGAAGACGTGTCCTTCCTTCTGAAATCAAATGTCAGAAATCCATCAAACAAAAGTGAGGGAGATGCTATTAGTGTCAACTTTACTATGACCGTTCCGACGACAATTATGAAATTCAAACTACAAAATGAAATGACTGGCCTGAAAAAAAGTGACCAAAAAAAAACGGATCAAATGAGAGTAAGAACGAGCGTGAAGAGGTTAGACAGAACTTAATGATGATTTGTTTGATGATCCGAACTGTATTTTGCACACTCAATTTGTTGCGTTCTTCAATCTTTTTTCATGCTTGTTTTGCTTCTTTTTTTTGTTATATAAATATATTTTACAACTTTCAATTTTTCTTCAAAATAATCGCTTTCGAAAACCGCCCCAACCTATTCTTCCAATTCTTCTTGACCGTGTTCAGTCTAGCAGAAATTGTCAAGCTTATTGTGGTGGCCGCTTTCAGGATTCTGAAATTTTCAGACGAACGATGTTTCTTGAACTTTTCCTAAGTTACTTCCTTACTGCCCATTTCAGAGGTCTAGATGATTCAAAAAAGTGTTCTTTGTCCCTTCTGATCAAACCTAAAACCTCAAAAACGGAAGTGATACCTTACCTCAGAAAAAAAAACAATGATTTTTTTGAAATTTGATTACTTTTTGGTTGAAAAAAGGGGCCGTTAATTAATTAGGGCCACCGCCCACATGATCCGGTAACCGCGGGTAGGCGAGAACCCAATTACCGGGAGCCAGATTGCCCCACCCACTCAGCTGTTCTGTTGAATGACGTGTGCTTTGAAACCGTTTTCTTTGTATTCTAATTCTCACCCACTCTGCTTCTACTTTCACCTAACTTTTTTCCGTTCCTCCCTCCCTTAACGTTCTCCTCGGTAATCACGAGTCGTTTGAGGGACGGAAGGAGGTGAAGAAAGAAGACAAGTAGGCGGAGTTTGGAAGGTGTCGCCCACTCCCGGTTGAAGGAGCTATATTCAAGACGGTTTCGGAAGGCGGACCGGCGGTTATTTTCAGTGCCTACCACAGTTCCTTATTTCATCCAGTGACGGTTGTCATCGACCGCAAACGTTGTCACCCCTACACCACACAATCTCAATCATTCAACTTCTTGCTTCTTTCCGATAGGTCTGTTTCTTCTTTTTCTGTTTCGTTTTTTTCTT